CCAGCAACTCTTCATCCGGCTCAACGTCTTCTTCTCCGGCCTCTCTTCTCACGACCCGCAGCGCGTTGCGACAGGCTCGTGCCTCGTTTTCGGCTATCCGACCCCCCGTGGTCGTCAGATCAGGCTGTATGCTATTGCCGCCGGCGCCTGGGCCCTCAGGCGCCCTGTCCGGCTGACTATATGCGCCCAAATTAGGTCTCACCACCCCCTCGGGAGGTGCTCCGTTATTTCCTTCACCAGCCATAAGTGTATAAGAGTAGTAAAAAGGTTTTACTCAACGAGGATTGTTCAAAAAGAGACGTCAACGAGCGGGAGACGTGGTGGAAGAGAGCGAAGGCGACTAGCGCCCACGGCCTAATTCGCTCTCTTCCATATCCGTCCGCACGCTTAGTAAGCACTCGTTAGGCCTAGCGCTCGTACCTCGCTCTGGGCATAACAGCACGCCTCTATGTTCTCGGAAACAGCCAGAGAGGCTGATGTCAGTGAAACGAGGAAGCGCGTACCGAACGCCCATCTCTAGGAGGAGGGTGCCATTGATACCTGGCGGCCACATATCGCGCAGCTGAGGTTGGCTGGAAAGCTCAGACTAGAATTCTAGCTAGCGCGTAGGTAAATGAAGTATGTCATCCGGGTATGAGACCGGCTGATCAACGCTTGATGCCCCCACATAGCAGGGATATATCTGGCACTTGGCGGTGTATGATTACGATATCTTGGAACGTTGTTACGCCCGTCTCACGCATTGTACATTAACACGCATAGATTCTCGATGAATGCAAATACAGTTCTCCATCTCTCGCCGCCACGGGGAACGGCTGAATATTCACAGTACTTCCGGGCCACAGCTGTGCGAGTCCGTAGTGGTCGCTGATCAACGTGATACTGTTGCTTTCACCACCACTATTACTGGAGGTATGTATGAGAAATTCAGTGCGCTTTCATCACGTTCATGTTTCCAGAATTCAGGGTATTGATCGTGATTGGAATATATAGTGATAGATACGATACAGATGATGCGTTCTCTGCGCAACTTTTAATTTGCAGCAGCCTCATCATCGTCTTCGTCGGGGCTCAAGTCCGACAGCGCAGCGAACCCAACCCGCTTCGCGCCCATGTCGAAGACCGAGAACACGTTGCTCAAGAAGCGGTCGCCGATGATCCAGAACGGCTGGTGGTCCGACGCGACGACGTTGCCCGCGCACCGGGTGGCGTCTGAGCCGAGGGGCGCGCCGCGGAGGCTCTCCCCGGGCATGGTGAAGGCGCGCCCGCCGAACGTGAAGTTGGACGCGGGCGAGCTGGAGCAGGGGATAGTGTAGTAGCCCGCGCCGATCTCCTCCGACGCGTCCTTGGAGCCGGGAATCGCGGCGTAGAAGGCGGCGACGTCTTTCGTGGGCCCGATGACGGCGGTGGTGCCGGTGTCGATGATGGCGGGAGTGTTTTGGGCGATGGAGGTGCCGTTGATGGAGACTGTGTCCATGCTGATCTGCCAGAATCCCTAGAGAAAGGATGGGTCAGAGGGTGGCCTGGCTTGCGGGGCACAATGGATCGTACCTCATCGGTGACAGGCATGTAGGTGATGTCGCCTTCGTAAAGACTCTTGTCCAAACGCCCGACGGTGAGCTCTGGGTTGTCGTTGTCCAGGCGGAACGCGAATATGCGGTTCCCGGATGCGAACGGCTTGAGCAGTTTGTCGACGACGGACTCGGAGTTGTATCTGGATATCTCTGGGAAGCCCATTCCCATAATGCCGTCCGCACCGAACTGGGCTGGGGCGAGGCCTCCGGAGTAGTCGCTGCTTGCGCCAACGACAGCACCATTAACCTATCAACTAGGTTAGCACGTAGGGGGAGCGACATGCATGGAATCTACTTGCCTGGTAGCCTGCGAAGATTATGATATCGGTCCATTGCTCTCCAGATGCCTCCGTTCCGTCACCGTAGGAGACAGAGTATGTTTTGTGAAGGTCTTTAGCGGAAGAGCTTTTTGTCGGATCGTATTTGCTGTGTCCATCGCAGTTCGTGGTGCAATCCTGCCCAGGCAGGAAGAGGTCGGAGCTTCCCGTGTCGAAGTCGACTTGGAAGTTTTGGGCAGGCGTGCCGACGTGAATGGAGCCGCGCCACATGTATTCTTCAACGGGTTGGAGACGTAGCAAGCCGGGCATGGCGAACCGCTTCGACAGCAGCTCTTTGCTTGAGAGCGGATGGGGTTTGCCCGTGTTTTGTTCGTATGCGGCGAAGCCTCGCTGGTAGTTTCTGGTTGCCACTATGTCAATACGAGAGGCATATGGTGGGATATGAGTGCTTACATGAGACGGCGGGTAAGGTGGGCGCGCAGCGCTTGAGGGTCCACGGTTCCATCTTCGGCCGTGAAGTCACCGCGTTTGGTGATAGGGATGCGAACGGTGTCCACGGAGCGCTCCACCGGGGAGGCAACGGCAAGGGTAAGGAGCGACGAGAAGACGAAGGCGATGGAGAGCTGCATGGCGAATGAAAGGTGGGCGGGATTGAGGCAGGAGAGGATGATGGGTGACTGAGACTTGAGGGGCAAGAAAGGACCTCTTATATACGTATACGAGAGCTCCCTGCTGTTTGGAGCGAGGGGCTGCATTCCACCGGGTTTTTCCTGGAATGAATGTCATCCGCTGCGAGTATTGTGGATCGACAGCGTAGACCATGGCGTAGAAGGCGGGTGTCCCGCTTTACCGAATGTAGGTCCACCAGGCCAGATCGCAACCCAAGTGTAGGTTTTGATTGGGACCGACCCATGTTGAAGGGACACGGTAGGCGGCCCCGCCCGGACAACAACTCGCCCGTCGGATCTACCTAACTTGGTAGTATAACGTCGGGTCGAGGTGGAGGCCTCGCTTTGACTTTGCAGGCCACTTAGCGATGCTACCCCAGGCGGAATTCATATGTCGTGCTCACCATGCTTACCGAGACAAACCGGACCATCTCGTCTTAGAGAGTTCGAACGCTCAGGGCTTAGCTGTTGAAGTAGCGGTATCTATCTCACTCGACACAAGGTCAACCCGGAGTTAAGAAGATATTACGATAGTCTGTTGACTCGACATGGGACTCAAAGGCTAAGATACAAGGATGAGCGCAGTACAAATCACATAACGCAAGACAGAAACCAAGACCATATCCGCACCGGTCCAAATCGCAACGCCTCGACCCTCGGCTCCCGGATGCGCACCCTCCCCACGACCGCGTTTAGCCCTTCTTCACGGTCTTCCCCTTCGAGCCCTTCGAAGGTGCGGGAGTGGCTTTCGACTTTCCTCTCGGCTTCTTGATCAGGGTGTCGTTCTCGGCCGCGTCGTCGGAAGCGTTCCCCTTGTCATCTTCCGCCTCATCAGCGACATCTTCGTCAATCTACGATTCCGGTCAGCTATAGTGGCACCACCCATTATCGCATCCCATGCTCACGTCGAACGCCTCCTCGAGATCCGGTGCGGGGCCGGCCGAGGCGAGTTTCTTGGGAACCTTGCCCAGCGTCTCCGCCTTGTGGAACGCGATAGGATGGTCGCGGGAGTTGTACCTAGACCGCGGTTCAGCATAGGGGTTAGCGATGTGTGGCATATCTACGACTCACTTCTTTGTGAACGACGTCTTCGTCGCAGTCGATATCTTCTTCAGCACATGGGCGTCTGCACGCTCGTCGACGCCGAGCTCGACGATTGTATCCCAGTCCTCTCGCGTGAGGAAGTACTCATCCATGGTCTCGATCACATCGTCCACCGCGCTCTGTGAATATTTGACGTTAGTCTCTGAGCACACAGGTGGCCGCTACAGGATAGCAACGTACCGCGCCCTTTTCCGTAAGCGGCTTCACAATATGAGGGAACAACGAAGGGATGTAGGACTGCCGAATCTCAGCCTTATCGCCCGAGACCTTTAGTCGCATCCGGGCCTGCACGTCAGTCAGCTGCCGGCTCAGCTTGCTCTGCTTCGAATTCTGCCCGAGCCATTGAGGGAAGCTCATGGCGTTCGGACCACCATAGCCGGCGCCCATCCCGTACAGGAAGGATGCAGGGCGGACTGTTGAGCAGACTGCATGCAATGGCATGAGTGACCAGTACTGGTTAGGTCTACAGTGGCCGTGTCAAGATCCAGCAGATTGTATGTGAATGTTGCGGGAACTAACCCGTGGATCAAACTGTCAACGATGTCACCGTCCGAGAGTGACTCCGCCGCCTTGTACATGAGCTCGAGATGTTTCAAGGTCTTCTCGGGGCCATCCGTATTCCGGATACGAGAAGGTTGAGTCTTCAAGTAGTTCTCCTGTTGAATCGTGATGTGAGGAAACCATACCGTCCAGCTCAATAGACTACAAACCTGCATGAAAAGAGGCACGAACGACGGATCGTGGAAGTATAGCTCGATCTTGTCGCCGAGCGTCTCACGCGATGTGGGGGAGAACATCTGTGGCCCTAGCATCTTGTTGATCACACCGAAGGGCGTCATCACCGTATACTTTTCGTTCATCTTGACGCTATGCAATATCAAACCGCTGTGAGCAAACGGCCCATGCAACGTGAATTGGGATGATCTCACAGCGTCTTGCCCTCATCGAAGTCCATTTCGGTGTTTGACAGCTTCCACGTCGAAAGCATGTTCAGGACTTGGCGGATGTCGGACTGTGCACCCTGAACGAGCTGGTCTATCACGTTCGCAGGGATCTTCAGCTTCTCTCTGACAACAGAGTAGATTATTAGCAGGGCGCGTTAACATTGCATGATAACACATACTTGAACGCTATACTGAGGATTCTCGACCGGATAGCGGTAGCCTCAGGCCTAGAAAGCTATCAGCGATTCCCGCGCGCTGGAATCCAAATGGCTAACGTACCTCCTGTAAGAAAGATTGAACGTGACATTGGTCAGCGGCTTCAGTTTCTGCGCGCCGCGATCATTTGCAATGCAGATGATTGGTATCTGACGGTCGTCCGCACAACTCAGTGCCATGCTCACGAGGAGGCGGTCGCAAGGGGGATGTACCTTGGTTTTCTTGATAAGAGCGCACAGCGCACCGACGCCGCCTCGGTCACCCGCGGACATACCGTCCACTTCATCCATGATTAAGCAGGACTTGTCTGTGATTGTCATGCCCACAGCGTTCGTCGCCTATAATCCGCAGTGAATAAGTCGAAGAATATCACCAGGAGTAAAGACGTTTCACTGACATGCCCACCGTGCATCCACCCGTCCAAGGATGCATTCATGATGTTCGTACTGTTCTCAACGAGTTTCTTGCTGCGCGCGTCGCTAGCATTCAACTCGATGGGCGTGAAGCCAGCCAGCTTGGCACACAGATGGGCGCTCGTCGTCTTCCCTATTCCAGGCGGGCCCGTTACCATGACCGCACGGTATATATTCATACCATTCTTGCCAGGCTTTTTGAATCCACACTGAAGGCTCCCTGACCTGGTCACAGAAATGAATACCAAGCCATTGCGAGGTGAAAACGCCAACGCCAACGAACCAGCTTCCCAGCCATTCCTGCAGTTTCTCAACTTGACCCTTGTTTCCGCAGATCTCCTTGAGCGTCTGCGGTGCATACCGTTGGGTCCATAGCTGGTTGCTCGCAGCGGGCTTCGCGCTGCAAGCCCATGAGCACCTGCATGGGATAAATACCGGAAGGGCAAAATCTCACCTAGTGCCGGCAGTCGTCTTCGCCGTTTGCTTCTCACGGCGCTCCATCTCTTTCGCGCTATCGCGGATCGCCTCCTTCTCCTTCTCAATTTTCTTGCGAGCCTTGTCGTCGAGTGCGCTCTCGTCAACCACGCGCGTCGCGATGAGATTCAGAAAGCCGTCCTCATCGAGCGTCTTCAGCTTGTTTTTCTCGATCGCCTTCAGCTTGCTTGGGCCAGCGTCCGATCCGAGAACTACGTAGGAAGTCTTTGAGGAAGGCTGGCCGACGACTCGCCTGAAAATACCGGTGGTCAGCTGAGTACAACTGGGAGAGATGTTGAGACGCAACGTACCCGCCATAGCGTTTCGCCAGCTCGACTGCCTCTTCGCGCGCAAGGCTGCTGAGCTCGCCTGTGAACACGAAGCTAAGTCCCGCAAGACAGTTGGGGTCCTTCGGGACTGGAATCTCCTTCGAGCCTGGATTTGAAGGACCTGCCGCGCGTGAGGCTTTCATCGCATACCAACTACCAGTACATCATTAGTAGTAATTCAGTGTGGTTCGAGACCAAGTCTTACTTCGGCTTCTTCACACTGGCGTCATCCACCTTGGCCTCCGCAGGTGTCGACTTCTTTTCCGCATCCTTCACAGGTTTCTTCTCTGCGGCCTTCGTTGGTTTGTCCGCTCCCTCGGCCTTAACCTTGGTTGAAGACTTTGCAGGCGTTGGTTTCGCGGGAGTCTTCTTCGCGCTGGGCTTGCTCTTGCCCTTCTGTACTATCTCTTCGTCGTCGTCATCTAACTTGAACTCGCCATCGTTATCGTCCTCCTCAGAAGATGCAATGAAATCGTCGTCTTTAGCCTTCTTGCGAGCGGGCGCGGCCTTTCGAGGCGCGGGGGCCTTGCGCGGTGTGGACTGCTTCGTGGGTTTCGTCTCCTTCGCCTTGGGCTCGGGCTTCACCGCCGATGTACTTGCACGGGGTTTAGATGCGGACGGGGCCGCTACGGCCGGCTTCTTCTTTGGCGGGGACTCCCTGGCCATGTCCTCTTCGTCGCTCGACTCGACTATTGCTGCCTTCTTGCGTTTCACGGGTTGGACGCGAACTGGCTCGTCGTCATCGTCATCAATTTCCATGACCTCTTCGCTCTTCAGCTTCTGCACCTGCGGCTTCTGTAGCGAAGGGTGAGTTTGTGGCTGAGGTAAAGAGGTGACTTGCTTACCGCAGCTATCTTAGTGGGTGCGGGCTTCCTGTTCATAATATGAGAAGTCAGAGATATATCGAGTTTGAGACGTATAGGGTAGTGCCAAGGTGGTCAACGTTGAAAATGTGATGCGGGTGACGTACTTGGGGGACGTCGGTTTCTTCTTCGGCTCCCTATGTGACATGTTAGACTTTCAATACGAATTGCTCTCCGATAGGTGCATACTCGTCGTCGCCTACATATATTGATATGAGCAAAGAACGTTGTGAAGCAGTGTACACGATTACTTACTAAACTCTATAGTTGCCTTCGCCTTGACCGTCTCATTCTTGTGCCGCTATCCATGCCATATGTATATGTTTACATATAGCAGACGCATTTGAGGATACCGGTACTCACCGATGCGTTTGTGGCTTGAGATGCACCCTGAGAGCTGCTTGCAGCCGCTGGGCCACCGAAGAAGCCACGAATGTCCTTCCCGTGCGATTTGGTCGGCGCCTGAGGTTTACGGGCCATGGACTCTGATCACTTGATTGACACAGGAGTCAAAAATCAAAGATTGAGCACAAGACGCAGAGGATCGCGACCGTGGAGGACTGAGGAAGCTGGAGGAGGGAGCTCGATCATAGGCGCGCGAGACGCGCTCGCGACGCGCCGCGAAACGTCACACCGCGAACGTGACGCGGCGTGACACTCCTCTTCTCCTCTCGCCACCACTCAGCCTGCACCCATCCGTCCCGCTTTGAGTCAATAGAACCCGCTTTTTTCGCCAAGAGACGTGGCTTTTGAAGGCCGAAAACAATTGCGCAATGAGTGGAGGACCCGCAAGCTCACGGTGCGTACACTACATTCGCACCGCAAGCTGCTTACAGAGCAAGTAAGCACAGATTCGCAGCTATCTACGACTCCCTCCCTCCCGACGTGCAACATGCCATCGTAGGGAAACAACTCATACCACTCCTTGATCTCGTGAGCAAGACGAAACGCAAGAGGGTCCTCGCGAGCGCCGCGAAGATGCAGAGGCGGCACGCAGGCATCCCGGTTCTTGACCTCAAGGCGAAGCAACGAGAAGTTAACGCCTTGCTGGACGAACTACATCGTGACGCGAAGCGGTCCTTCGTGAAAGAGCGTTCCCACCGGACAGAACTCATCGAACAGACGGTCGAGAGCGTTACGAGTTGGCTGAACGACATCTGGTGCATAGTCTACGAGCATAACGTCGACTTCTTGCTCGCTCATCGCGCTCTGATCTTCGTCGTCAACGTCCTTGACCAGATCGCACATGGACGCGCAAGGTGAGTCTTAGTGCGGCTACGGCAGACTTCGCTAGCTTGGACAGTCTGGCTAATCGTGTGTATGCAGCTGTCGCTGTGCATTTACGAGTATGTATGTCCCTATCACTCTGAAGCGGAGGTGCGGGAAGTTGGTCAAATCATGGGAACTCAACGGTGCACATCACATCGAAGAGGTCTTGCAGTTCATCTGGCGAGACCTCTTCCTGAGCATGCTTGCCTCTGGGAGCAAGCGCCACCTTGCGAAGATCCCGGAGATGCTCGATGACATCGAAGATCTCATGGGCTGGACTTCCCTGGAGAGATTGGTGTTCGGTGGTAGGAAATGTAGGTCGATGAAATCCCGCTGCTACTGTTCAAGGCTCTGATACATATCTGCGCGTTCAGGCAAACACGACCACGAAACAGACGATGGCGAGACGGACCCATATGCCTTTGACACAGAATCCGATGTTGACGAGGAGGAAGAGGCCTTCACTGACGAAGACAGCGATCTCGACGCGCCCGTCGGGAATGAAGACTGGATTCCCAAGGTAGCATACAGGGCAACACCGGAGCACGCCAAGCACTGGTCCCACCGCATCAGCTCACAAATGTGGCAATTCCGGCGATACGTGCAGTCAGCCATGACCTCCGTCTTCAAAATCACGCCATCCCTCCGCCTCTACCTTGCGTTGCGAGATAATTCAACCGACCCTATGACGACAGAAGCCGAGCTCAAAGCCTATCTGTCCCAAATGGCGACCTCCTGCCCAGAGGTGTTCTCTGCTGCGCTCGAGATCTACGCGTGCGAGAAGAATGCGGACAAGATTGCAGTGCTGCTCAAGACACACGCGCACCTCATCCGCCCGCGCGACGCGTCCGTCATGCAGTCTGCGGTCGCCACCATGGCTTCGAATGCGGTCCACCTACCCCGCGCGCTCGAAATCATCGAGAAGGAGCTCCTCGACACCGCGCACGCCGTACACGCTGCGCTGCTAGGTCCGTTCTCCCAGCTGGAGACCGATGATAACCGCGGGGAGATCGAGCAGATTGTCAAGCTTCGCCAGGCAGCCGCAGGACGACAGGACCGCGTTGAGCGCTGGGTAGACGCGGTGTGCACCCCGGGGATGAACGCGCCAAACCCGATGGCGCTGGCGGCGATGGTGATGGGATTGCCGATCATGCCCGCTATGGACGGTTTGGAGGATGCGGATCCTCTGGGGTACCTTGACTTGGACCCGTCGGACCCGGACATGGAGGATCTGAGAGAGGAGTTTCGGCCGCGGCTGAAGAATCGGTTCGAAGGCTGGTCAGACACGGCTATCACCGTCAAGGGCGGCCCCGCCGTCCTGCAAAAGGTGTATAAGGAGGTTGCGCAGCAGATGCCGTTTCTCCGCGCGAGCGACGTTGTCGAAGACATGCTCGGCCGGTGAGTACCTTCTCGCATGATTGCCCATTAGCCCGCAATAGCTAAGTTCCCACGTAGGCTCGCGGACAAGCCGAGCAAGCAGTACCTCGTCGACGCTGTAGACGCGCTCTCTGCCTTCGTGAAGGTACAGCGGCGCAAAGCGGCAGCCGCTAAGAACGAGCAGAAGCGTCGCGCGAACGCTACCATCCAGACGTCTGTAGCAGGCCCGTCCAGCCGTGTATCAGCATCCGCCTCGACTTCCGCTTCTAACTCCACTATCCCGAGCCCCGCCATCCCTCCTACAGAATCTATGTCTGCAGGCACTAGCACTTATGCATCACCTACAGTGGCAGACGACCTTCCCAGTCGCCCGGAGACCCCGCCGCCACCTCTTGAGCCATTCACGCCCGCGCCCGCGTCGCTCTTCACGTTCTACACTGGACATATCGCAATGCCCCAAGGCGTCGCTGGACCTGCAGGTGGGGGCGTATTTGGCGGCGGTGGCGGGCCTGGCACCCCTGGCGGTGGTGGGTTCGGAGCCGGAGGGGGGTTAGGCCCCAATGGAGCAGGGCCTGACCCTGGTTTTGGAGGCGCGTTCGGAGGATTTGGAGACTATGTCGGAGGGTTCGGCGGCATGGAGGACGTGGATTGAGTTTCCGCATAGATGAGCGTAACGTGAACTCTGAGAAGAAGTTTTGTCGATGTCCTGTAGCGTACTTTGCACCTTTTCTTGCAGACCAGTTGGAGTCAACCTCAACCCGACCCCTCGCAAATCATCAAGCTTGCAAGGACAAGCTGGTCATTGAGGACCAGAGGCACTGGTTGCATCTATTGGGGTGTACTGCGTCTAAGTAAAGGCATCTACGAGAACTTCTACCGACGGAGGTTATATCTCGCCCCGCGATAGTCGAATGACCTCTCGTTGAAAGTCTTCGTCGTAGCCAATGCACTTCATGGACCACGCCCGGATGCACTAACAGGGGCAAAACGTTAGCTTCGCATCTACCGCGGCTCGAAGCAAGCATATGCACCTCATGCCCGGCCCCGAGTGCGTTGTTGACTTGCTCACGAGTGACATGCTTAAACAGGCCGTCCGCACTATCGACCTCCGCCCGAGTGGGCTCGCGTCCCAGAGTACGACGGAGGTGTATGCGTGCCCGAAGAGTCCTTCCCCAATCCTTCTCGGAGATGTTCTTCGTCCACACCCCACGAACCTATCACGTAGCCGTCAATATATTACAAAACTCAGGACATCGCTATCAGAGCTGGCATGCTCACTGCGTCTGCAAGACCGTGCCACTGTGCCACCGTCAGCAACGGCGCAGGATGTGCCTCATACTCGCCCAGATACAGCCACTTTCCGGTCTTGATCTTTACAAACAGGGTCTGGCGCTCCGAGTGGCCCTTGCGCGCCGTCCACGGATCCCCGGGGAGGATCGTGTCGAAGTAGAGGCCGGCATGCCCGGGAACTTGTGGCGCGTGCGGGTTCCAGAGGAGATTGATGCACATGAGGTTTCCGCGGCCGTGCTGTGCGAGCTTCTCTGCGCTTGGGCCAGGGAAGGTGTCCATCGAGCTGCCCCCGTACCGCTTCGCGAGCAGCTCGCGCCGCACGGTTATAGAGCGGAGATCTTCAGGGAGCGAGATGGGGTAGGGCTGGAGAGCGTCGGAGTTCGATAGGTGCAGCTGGAGAACGTCCTCGTCTTTGAGGAGATACTCTTTCTTGACCTGTGCGTCCGGCTTTGAGGATGAAGATAAGCGGCAGCGTCTTGAGATTAACACGAAGCTAAGAGGTCACAGACATTCCTGAGCTTGGTGATGGCACTTCGTGTTCCTTCCAGAGTCCCATCATTCTCCGTTAGGTATTCGTCTTTGACAGGCTCCGGCGAGGCTGCTTGCGCTGAGACTTGAGATGTATCCAATGTGACAACCTTCCGATCTTCCTCTTCCTTTTCCTCTTTCAAATTCTCCTATGGTGCATAAGCATCTATGCCGCACTGAGAATAACCAGGACATCCACACCGTCACAATCCCCTCTTCATGGAGATTATAGCGCATCCGATAGTGAGACTCTGACGTCGCTATAGAGCCTACAGGCCACTTCACGTCCTGCTGCTCTACTAACAACATAGAATAGTTAGTATATGTAACGACAGATATTGTGTTGATATACGCACCAGCGTGATTCAATTTGCGTTGCTTGCGTCGGGATGTGGCGGAGAGCACAAGGCTCTCAGGCTCTTCTTCTCCTTTGAGGCTCGATCCCGGCTTCGGGCTGGCCTGAGGTTCCTCATGGCGACGCTTGCGCGTTTCCTCAAGAACCAGGTCTTTAACATCCTCATGTTCATCGGAATCGTATAGCTCGATAACGCCGAGCTTATGCATCGGAGCTGCCATGCCGTCGTCGTAAGTGCTGTTACTAAAAGTGCGCGAGGATGAAGGCGCAGTTTTCGGCAAAACGCTAGTCAGTTCACTCTCGTCGTCCGAGTCCAATATTTCCAGGGGATCCGCTGCGGTACCGGCCGCCGCTGAGGAAGTGAAGTGGGGTGATTTCCTTGCAGCGGATGGCGTTGTCGATGCATGTGAGACAATATCGTCTGGGGAGCTCGTCGTCTCAGGCTATCGGCACCAATACATGTCAGTAAGAAAACTGCTTGAGTGTAAAGTATTAGACCGCAGTACTTACGGGAGAGTCGTCCCGGATTTCTTGTCTGGAATGGCCTTCGGAATCTGAGGCTTGCGCAGCTGAGGCTTCACCAAAGAGCGTCAGCGCGAGCTTCCTCTTCCACTCGGCGATTTCCTCGTCTTTCGCCCTCAAACGCTCTACGAGCTTGTCCTGGCCGTTCGACATGAGGTTGGTGGGCGACCTCTCTACCCCCATAGACCGTCCAAAGCCCGCGAGGGGGTTGAGACGTAACGAACTCGCGGTGGCCGCCTGCATTCTCGGTTATGGATCCCGATCAGATCTGGCCTCCCGTCAATGCTCGATCGAGTCGAGGGTGCGACACATTTCTCCCTCCGACCACGACATACTCATCGTTGAGCTAGGATTCAAACTTCATGAAGACGTTTCGAAGTGAGATCAACTCGTTACATAACCAATAGTGAGCATTCAACACATGTCGTGCTTCGCTGGCTGGCTGCGACCTTACAAAAGTCTTCTTCTTCAGCGCATACAGCCTCCAGTGGATCAATAACAGTTGCAAGGCGACAATCAGCATCTACCCCACCCGCAACAACTTTCACTCTGGCGAGCAAATCAGCACGTTCGACTAGCCACTCGCATCCGCCACTGCGCCTCCTGCTAGGGCTTATGATGGTCTATGTTCTTCGGCAACTTACTGAGGCCACTGGACCCTTGCTTAGGCTCTAAATCTCGGAACTGCCCCCTTCTAGGCTACTTCTCTGCTTCCGAAAACGAACGGTCTACGCATGTATCATATCACTCACCCTTGGTGGTGAGTTCATATCCACCAAACGGCGGTCATTTCGTGTCCGAATCTTGACTCTATGCGTCTGAAGTCCCGGTCCTCAGTCTTTCTGCACCTCTCGCGCTCTTCTGAGATCGACTAGACTCTGCTGTGACTAGACCCAGGTCCTTCTGTTCGACTACCGGCTCGGGACGTCTTTAGCTCAACGGCCTCGCGTCCAGTCCGCATGTTCATCGTGTTTGCGGGACACGGATCCGTTGGGCAGTGCGATCATTCGACATTGCCTCGAAACTTGCGTCCTCATCTTCCCAAGTCGCTTCAGCAAATCCCTCCGAAACCGTGCTTTTCGGAGGGATTACCGGAAAAGACGAGAAAGGATACCTGTGACGGACGCTTAGGCCACATACTGGGAAGTCGAAAGATTGAGGGAGTTTCTCTCACTTCCCGTCATCCTAACCAGTGATCTGACTTATGGGCACAAATTACGGCGTACCCTGGCGCACCCCGTTGTCTACACGCGGAGATCCTGCGCTCCTCCGAGTGGTTGCAATGGCCTAGAAGCTGCACATCAATATATGCTGGACATGCGTCAGGGTACTGTTAGATGGCGATTCTCGTTCTGTTGCCTTGCTCTATTGCTATTGGAAAGGACATGCTATGTTCGCATTCGGCGATCTTGGTCACCTCGAACGCCATTGGTGATGCCCGTTGCCCATTCCCCCGTCTCGGTCGATGCGTGTTTGCATACCCCATGAAACGATGTTCCTGCCAGCATCAGAGCCCCGGGCTCTACACCGATGCTTCTAGTCAACCCAGATCGAAGATACTGCGCGGGGGCGCATTGCAGCACCATCTTGCTGAAGTCGTGCCTCCGGCAAGTAGGCGTCGTGTGCAGTGTCATACTCCGTCCCACTTTCAATCGGTGATATCATGCTCGAATAGGCTTTCAAAGATTAGGCTGGGTGCCGGGGCCGCGCCCAGGCATCATCGCGCAACGTGCAGTGAGCGTGTCCTGGAGCCTGGGAGTACGACGCCAACGGAAGCGCGTGGGGCGCGGCGCGCATCTGTCGCACACTGGTTTGGGCTCGACAGAGCGGCAGCCGACCTGCTTCATCCATTCCCAGCCCATACAAACGTGGGGAGAGACGGACGGATATGAGCGCAGGAATATGTCAAGCACGCGCCGACACGCAGGGCTGAATATAGGGATCGGGCCGAGGAAGGCGAACTGGCGGTAATCAGCCTCGAGGCAACCATGACCTTCCTTACACGGCCTCCCACCTCGTTGTGGACCAGGGCGGATGCCTTGTACCCGCACACTCGCCCGCCACGTTGTTAACGCGAGTACAATGAATCACGACCTATGAAGGTGCGATCTCTTCTCCTCCCCGTGTTTATCCTTTCCGACGCGCCATCGCTCTCATTCCCCCCTCCAGCGACTTTGGTCAACCAGAGTCCCTCATAGATTATGCCCAGTCAATCTCCGCAGCACAGTCTGAACCGGAAGCAGCAAACACACCTCAGCCAGCAAGGTCAGTTGCCGTTCGCTTCATTCAGATCATTCACACCGGCCTTTGTTCTGTGCGAGGCATCACTTCCCCCGGACCTCCCTCTCGCTTCGTTCCAGCACTCAGTACAACATCCCATCGATCTCGCTGTGGCTGAGCTTCGTGCGGGATCATCCTGATATTGCATTCCCTCTCCTGCGCGACGATCTACTTATTGTGTAGCTCTTACGTCTGCACGACTTAGCCTATCAAGCACTTTGTCTTATTTGAGGCCGGATCCCGACTTCTTGTTCGACGCTTCTTTCTCCTCTTACGTTCCCACCCCGCTCATACGCTCTCCCCCGCCACATAGGTCCAATGCAGAACATAACGCCTCGTGAAATGACCCCCTCGCCCTCGTTCCGCGAGAAACAGAGGGCGATCAAGGCGCATTCGATGCCCGCCGTCCCCTCACTCGGGCAGATCCTCGCGAGCCAGAACGGGCAGATGATGTACCCCCAGGCACAGCAGCAGCCCAGCCCGACGACTTCCAACTCTTCTCACCAGTCCCGACGCACTCCCCCGCCCACCTCCCGCATCTCGCCAGTGACGACCAAGGTGGCGTCGCTGCCGGAACGCCAAAGCACCCCGCCACCCCTTCTGCACACCCACAGCCAGCCGGTTATCTCCCAGCTTCCGAATCAGCACCACCCGCGCCCCGTCAACCGCGTCCAGCAGCCGCCGTTCTTGGCCCAGTACCAGAACCAGGAGGACAACTGGGCGATCACGGAGGAGCTCATGGCGGAGTTCGAGCGGGAGCACGGGCAGTACGGTGCGCATCCTCCAGGCACCGCCGGAGTAGCTTACGCGGGCGGTGTGGCGTCGAGCCGGACAAAGGCGCGGCACGACTCTGTCCCCGTCCCCGTCCCCACCGCTCCCGCGAAAGACCCTGCGGTGGAGCGCGTGCGTGCTGCTGATCGTGCGTCCCCCAAAGATTCAGATAGCGGCAGCGTCGGGGCGGCGAAGCGCCAGGCGCGGGACAAGGAGCGCGAGGCGCAGGGCGCCCGCGAGAGCCCGAAGACACGCGACCGCTCCGGAACGGTCTCGTCACAGCATGTCAACGAGGCGCAGGGCAACGTGCGCACGCCCGAGTATCGTGGCTCGCCACAGTACCAGACCCCGATGGCGTCCCCGGGCGAGCGCACCGCAGCGTATACCCAGTACGTCCCCGAGGCGTACCAGTCCTCCCAGCAATCCGCAACGCAGCCTCCGGTGCGCAAGCCTGTTCCGAACGTGGGAGTGGCCGAAGCCGCGACCACGCGGTTGACGCCGCCCGCGACGTCGAAGCTCGCGAACAATCACACGCCCCCGTTGCAGACGATGGCAATGCGGCCCCCTGATCGCTCGTTACCTGTGCAAGAGGAGCTTGAGGAAGACGTCGGACACGAGTTCGAACACGAAGAGCCGCAGTATGCCGACATGCACCATGGTTCGCCCACCCCTTCCTCCGACCTATACCCCGAGGGCCACACGATCCGCTACGAAACACGCCACGAGCAACGTGATGATGACGACGACGAAACGCTTAACGAAGAAGTCGACGAACACATCCAGCAGAACAAGAGCAGCGAGGACTCCGAAGCGGGCTTTACGCCCCGTTCGCCCTCCACGAACCTGCCCGAGCGTCCCCGCGATGTCCAGTACGTGGGTCCTACGGGTCAGTACGCAGGCCTGAATGCCCAATACGGGCAAGCGCATGCCGACAACCAGAAGACCATCCGGCAGAAGCCTCGCGCAGCTACCATCGACCAGCTCGGTATGCGAAGCTTCGATCCCGCGATGTTCGAGCACGAGATCAACGGCCTCAGGGGAAGCAATCACGACTTGCCCTCCAATGGCCATCGCGAGCGCGCATCGCAGTCTCCTCAGCAGGTGCACTCCGAGCCTCCTAGGCCTACGCAGCAACAGCTACCGCCTCCTCAGCAGCAACCGCAGGCCCAGTATGATCCGCGTCTGTACGCGCTCAACCACATCTTGGATCAGCGCCTCGGATATCACTGGAACGGTTCCGAACACCAGTCGGACGATTTGCAGAGTCTGTTCGACGACCCCACCTCGTCCTACCTGCAGACGTTCCTCCGCTCGGCGAGCGCGCGCCCTGGCGCGCCTGTCCCGCCGACCCCACAGAGCCACACCGCGGCACCGTCACCCTCGCCGCTCATCTCCGCGATGCCCTCCGACGTCGAGCCGCGCCAGATCGGATCTCCATACCCCTACCCGTTCACGCACATCCGGCGCCAGACACACTCCGGAGCGATCCCCACGCCGTCGACGAACTACGACATCAACAACAACCCGGCGATAATCCGCGAGCAGCTCGCGCTGCAGATGCAGATCTACGCGCTCAACAACGGCCTCGCGCAACCCTCGTCCGAGTCTGCGTTCTCGCCGTCCTCGACGCCCTACCCTGGCCCCGGCTACAACCCCTGGCAATTCGTGCCCGCGGCGGGCACCGCGGGTCTGAATGCACATATGGCCACCGCGAGTATCCGTTCGAGCCCGAGCCACGAGCCCGTGAGCCTGCCTCTGCCGCCGATGCGCGGCCGTGGGCTACGCCGGCGCGAGCCTATCAATGGGCACCTGCGCGCGGCCCAGCCCCCGCGCCAGACGCGTCCGAGGGTCAAGCCTCCGCCGCGCGTGGACAGCACTCAGCCAAGGGAGACGAGCCCGGAGATGTCCTCTGGAGAGGAGACGAGCACTGCGGGAGAGGAGCGCTTCGTGGACCCGTACGTCCAGGGGGTTCCCGGGATGAACGGCAACGGGAACGGTGCCGTCACGGAGATCTGGGATGAGCCGCTGGAAGGCGAGGACGGCGAGTGGGTGGATGAGGAGATCGATGGCGAGGAGGAGGACCTGCTCGATCTGGAGTACCACCCGTCGTTCGTCAGCAACCCGCAGAAGAGGCGACGCCGGTTCGACACGCGCTGGGACGCGCTTGTCCAAGCAGTGAGTGATTTTTCCTACATGCGTTTTCGTACTCGCCCTAACAAGCCGCGCAGTTCCAAGCACTGGACAGAGAGACCGACGCGACGCTCGTGCTGCTTGCTGCGCCCTCGCACTCCACGAAGCTGCACGCGCTCACGTCGCGGGCGCTCCGGCGCGACCCCGCGCTCGCCAACTCCCCCGCACTCTCGAACGTCCGCCGCGGGTTCTCCGCACTCGCCACCCAACGGCGCACCGCGCGCAAGGCGCAGCACATGTCGCTTGCCGAGCGGCTCTCCTCGCGCTCGGACTCGTCCGTGGACGGCTCGCCCGGCGCGAACTCCCCAGGGGAGATGGACCTGCGGCGCGCGCTCGAGGCCGCGCTCGGGAGCCTGGGCGCGTTGTCGGCGATCTACGACCAGCGCGAGGCGCGGTGGAGGGACGAGATGCGCAAGCAGAACGACGACCGGGAGCGCATTGAGCTGCTCTTGAGGCAGGCTCTGGGCCCGGTCGCGCTGAACAGGCACGGGCCCGGGATCGGTACCAACGGGGTGTGAAGTAGGGTAGAATAAGTAGTACTGTGCGGTGTATGCTACTGTATGCTGCGAGGCCGCTTTGTATGTCTGTTATATGATTATGTAGTACACGACTGGACATGACGAATGGCTGTAGAGAGTGCGTCGGGTGTGGGAGGTTTTACATCGCCAAACTTCACTCAGAAGGAGGCGGAGTACTTATGTATATGGAACGACCCTGGATCTACCTATCGAAATGTACCCATGGATGTCTTTTGCTTGTGTTCCTGGACACGACCTAATGCTCCTATCGCAATAGCACTGCGGCTCACAGTCTGGCGCACTTGGCCACAGGTTCGGATCAGTGGGTGTACATCGCCGTTCCGGTAGTTACTACGTCGGCATTGGGTAAAGGATGATGAAGCAGGGTACACTGCGTGAGTCCTCGACTTCGAATGATATGCTGACAGACGACCCCCCGCGTTACGCCGCATTCGCGCGCGCCTCGTTGTCGTAGAGTATGCCGAACTTCTCCAGGCGCTTCGGCGGAGTCCAGACCACGTCTTTCCGAAGCCGGTGCATCCGCAACAACTCGCCCTCGCGGGGTTCGAGCACAGCGAGAGGGACCCGGTCGGAAGGCCATAGGCCTTCGGGGTCTGGGAAGAAAGCGAACGGATCCAGGATGCGGAGGACGCGGAGGACAACAGTAGGTCCGCCTTTCTCCGCGGGGAGCGGTGACTTCTCGAAGCAGCACAAGGCAGTACCCTCTGTGAGTCCGCAGCGTCTGAGCATATGGTTTACGTTCATATTCGCATGGAGAGGACTCACTGGAAAACATCGAGTATATCCTTATGTAAGGTCGCCGCCATCTTATATATGGTGAGACTTGCAATCGGAAAACCTCATGACGGTCGTGGCCTACCAGCCGAAATTGGGGTTCGCATGCGGAGAAGTCGAGCAGGAACGGCTGTCCAAAGCCGTAAATGAGCCGCGTGTTCATTGATGGGCTTGATTCCTTTGGTACGTCCACCTGGGAATCCGAAAGGAGCTGATCCTCGGAGACTAAGCCGTCTTCGACGAGGACGAGCCATAGGGGATCGGGATGTAAGCGGCGGCGATGACGCACGAGGTTGAGCAGAGGGATGCGCCACGGTAAACCATGCTGGGTCATCAGATCCGGAGACGATGAGAAGAAGGCCGGGTCTGGAGAGCCTGTGACGCGAAAACGAATCTCGGCGGCAAGAGGGGGGGCACCCGGAGGAAGATGATAGTAGAGGAATCCACGGAGATTCGTGGCGGAGGGCACATCTCTCATAGTAAATTTCCTACCCCCTTTGGCAGTGAAGGCCGCTGTAAGAATCAGGTAATTGCGGAAATCGCTGGGCCGTGGCGGTAGGTCGATGAAGTGATCCCTGGTCAATTTTCCGAGATCCAGCGTGTATCGGTAGGTTTGCTGTTCCCCCTCTTTAATCGGCGCTTTCCGACGTAAACGTTTTGCAGGCTCGCGCGATGTGTTGGTAGGCGTTAGCTGCTGCGGTGTAGCCGTGACGTGGATGTGCCTTTTCCGAGTATGACCGTCGGGGCGGGTTCGAGGGTGACAGGCACATACGCCTGGAAATGATGACACCGTCTTCAGCCCGTCGCTTCGAAACGCGGCTGAGCGCCGAATTAAGTGGAAGTAGGTTTCTGGCAATGACCCGATTTTGGAGGTGTAACATCGTGCCCATACGTTCCCCCGTGTGTGCAGCGGCCGGCAAAGTCTGCCTGTGCGGATGAAAGCTATCAGTACTATATACAGCTTGTAACGGCACCTAAATAGATACTTCTTAGTACACACTGCGTACGCCCGACTCGAGCAAGTGGCCCAATGCGTCAATCGAGGACAAGTTCAACTATACTAGTTGCCAGAGCGCCGAACGAGTCGCCGGTGGCCGAAGCCAAATTAGGCATTATTTGACTGTGTTTGTCCTGCCGTCCGAGTAACTTACAGGCTGCAGCCGACCCAAAGCCGACCACACCTATCCAGGGACGGGGATCTACAGATGCAGGCTAGGAGTCAAAAAATTGACGTAGATGAATAGTAAGCAGTATCATATGCAGCCAATCTGCAACAAGGCAACCTGAAATACAGTAAGTATCTTATCACGCTAACTCGTGCAGGAAACCTGGTATCGCTGGACAATATACAAAGGATCGAGCGATACTCCTCTTCGGATCCTGTTTCGGGCGATCGACAGAAGCACGAGCCAAAGCGAACAGACGTGGATGGGCGCTTCGGCTTCGAATAGAGCTCCTTATGTCTTGTCAGGATTAGACGCCTGTACAGTATATATACTAGTACAGTACTGCTTAGTCTCTCCTTACGCGATCGTCCACTCTTATCATCGTACGGCCACCCCGCGTAAGCACTGTTCACCCCTTTGAAGAGCCATGGCTTATTCGATGTGTTACAGTCTCCCGGCGGTGGTTTAGGTGGCTCAGATGGTTTTCCACTGCCAGCTTTGCCCGTCCTCCTTCTATTGGGAGGACGAACTTTTCGAACACGAGGACGATTTCCACCCCATTTGTGGCCCTTGCAATAAGCGGTTCTCGTCCCAGTGGGGTCTGACACAACACTACGTGCAAAGCCCGCGACATGCGTACTGCCAGAAATGCCGCCGCCTCTTTCCGGACTGGTCCGCCCTCTATAGTCACTACGACGAGCAGCACTACTACTGCAGCGTTTGTAGCTCAGTGCGTCGGCTACGATGTAAACGGCCTTGTGGTGCTTTCGCTCACTTTCATTCTCTGCCTAGATCTTCGATTTTGAAGTCGGCCTTCATGAGCATCGCCGTCAGAAACACGCCAACCTGTACTGTGTTCCGTGCAAGCGCATGTTTCAGAACGCGAACAACCTCGATAGCCATCGCCGTTCATCCATTCACCAGGGGCGCACCGTCCAATGTCCCATGCAGGGATGCAAGGGGACGTTCGTCTCCACCGCCGCACTCGTTCTCCACCTCGAGTCCGGTGCGTGCGTATCCCGTATGACGCGCGACGCCGTCAACCGCATCGTCGTGCAGGTCGACCGCTCGAACATCATCACGAACCCCGCGCGCCTCATCACCGGCGCGCCCACTTCCGGGGGTACGACGGTCACCGCGACCTGGGCTACGCAGCGCGCGTGGAACGGGACGCACTACGAGTGCTACCTCTGCCATCGCGGGTACAAGTCCCTCCACGCGTTGAACCAACACCTCCAGAGTTCGGCACACGCGGAGAAGATGTATCGCTGCCCGCAGGGGTGGTCCGGGTGCGGCGCGGAGTTCGGCACCCTTAGCGCGTTCTGTCAGCACGTTGAGGGCGGGAAGTGTGGCGTGCGTCGCTTCCAGGGCGAATTTAACCGGGTGATGGGGCAGCTGTCGAGTGGCATGAAACAGCTTACGATGGGCAGCTAGATTTCTCACCTTCTGCGGCCGATGGTGCGTACTATCTCTCGTCTTCTGTAGTCGCGTTTATCGTTAAAGTAACGATTAAGATTCTTCCCCCATAAACGCCATCATACCCTCGCTACAGGCGCGTCGCACACGTGATCGCGACACGTCGCATGTTCGACGCGCCTGGCCACAAAAGTTCGAAGGTTGGATGATTGCAAGTACGTCAGTGCTAGTGCAGAGTTCACTCTATTCGTTTGATCAAGCTGCGTTTCGTCCATCCGCTCACAGACCTCTGGCACTAGGTCTTTCTCGCGGGCGTTAGATAAAGATTTTGGTGTATTACTGAAGTGCGTTTATCTTCTCAAAAGAAAGGTGCTTGTCGACCGTCCGTATCAAGGACTATCCATGTCACATTCAAACATGGTGTGCTATGTCCCACAATCGGCCATTCAAATTATCCGGTGGGGTATAAGATGCGAAGATGTCAGTCCGTATCACTCCTCCCCGTACATATACCCTACTAGGACTAAGACAATCCTCAAATGCGCCTACCCTTTTTTTCCATCCTCGTGCTTTCTCGCGCGACCACTAAACACATCGGTCGAACCTTCGAACAGGCTACGTCTGCTGCGTGTATGCGCATTTGTGAGGTGAGTGGCTCTTTCCATCCATCCGCCCGGGGAAGCGGGATGAAGCTGACGCAGGACACTGCAGACAGAACCCTTGCAACCTACACATTCTTCGCCCATCCCGGATTGCCTACCGTCCCTGCGGAAAAAACACGCGCGAAATCACTGCCGTACAGTGTTTACCCCTTACCCTGAGCCGGGGCGAAAATCCCAGCAAGGTGCAAGTATCCTGTTGCCGTCGTCCACTACCGTCCTCCGCGCGAGGAGCGTGCCAGGTCCGTATTCGATGCTCGATGCTCGATGGGACGCGCAAAAGGCAATACCAGTGCCGCAGAGAAAGAGTACCGAACGCGAGATCTCATGCTTTGGCGACGTGGGCAGCTGTGCTCAACACCCGTCCAGTGCAAACATAAGCCAGTACGTTGCGTCGCTACCCGGTGCTTGACGATTCCCCCACTCTCGCCATCGGCGTCCTTACGTGTCGCGTCTGAAACCGCCGGAGGCGCTGCTTGGACGACATACCGAGGGGGCCACTCTGGCAGAGAGCTCAGCGACCTGACATCAAGGGCCGATATCGCCGAAGAAAGGGACGCTACGGGTGAACTGACTGCACGAAGCGGGCCCCGGGCCATAGCGCCATTACTCCTCGACTTCCGCACAACGTTCTGCCCCTTCCCGGGCCTGCCCTAGAAGACGCGCGCATTGGCTGCGGCTAATCTTGCGCATGGGTCATACGAATACAGATTATCGAACGGGTGACCCGCGGAGACGGGTGCGAGATCCTCCATCTTCTGCATTTTTGTGGTCTTGTTCCGTTCGCCGGATGTCCTCGACCGAGAAATTCCCCTCGCCACCACGACGGTGCCGGGCGGTGACGTCGAGGATGTACGGCAACTGAACAGGTCGAATCGAGCTACGCGTGGAAGGCGCTTGATCATGGATGAGCTCTATGGGAATCTCATCGACATCTACGCGCTCGGCCCCACGAGCCGTACGATCCAACGCATGCATGTGGGCGAGGTAGCTTTGAAGGAGCTTCATATTCTCGGCCCCACGCTGTTCAATACGCGTCCCTCGACAACTATCCATGGACAAATGGCCCGTCGAAAGGATCCAGGACCCAGCCTCGGACGTATTCGCAGCCTTCCAAGGGCAAGGCGACTCGCGGCTCGAGGTACAGGAAGACTCAGTCAGCACGCGCACACCGATCTCGGGGCCCAAGTACGGCGTACTTCGAATGTGTACTTACATGTCTCCCTACTCGCATGTAACTCTCCGAGTATTGAAACACCATTCCCCACCGCTCAACGCCCAGTCCGCGGCACGCATATGCGAACGAATGTAGAAGTATCGCATTTCACGCGTGGAAAAAAGCGTACATTAACGAACGGATAGTCTATACGCATCCGACCAGGGCGCGGCACCGTGACGGCGCCCGCGCCCCATAAAAACATTTTCCTGCGGGCGCGCACTTGGGCGGCCTCTCGCAGGTGCGCGTGTGCGGAGCGGCTCAGTGGCTCTCGACGTCGCGCTCGACGGACACGTGCACCTTCACGCCCTGCTCGTGCTCGTAGCTGAGCTCGTCGTACGGGCGGTTGAAGCGCTCGAGCGGGATGTTGACCGTGTCGGAGCCGGTCTCGACGGGCCCGCGCGTGCCGCCCGGGTGCGCGAACACGGGCATCGTGCCCTTCGTGTTCGAGGTGCCGATCGGGCCCTCGGAGGTGTGCACGGCGCCGGCGCGGCCGCGCGCGCGGAGGTTGAGGACGAGGCGGCAGCAGAGTACTTGCGAGAGGATGAGCGCGAGGAAGCCTGTTAAGGGATTGTGGTCAGCGGCTGGCGGACAGAGAGAATGAGGCAGAGAGGGGGGACGTACTGTTGATGTTCTGGATGTTCACGTTCGACTGGAACATGAAGATGGCGTTGAGGATGTTGACGGCGGCGACGGCGATGAAGTATATGAGACCCTCGGTGACGAAGATCTTCACGAGGTGCGAGCCGCGCGCGTGCATGGTGGTCAGCTAAAAACATACGACGGAGGGGTCAGTCAGTCGCCGTCTTTACCGCTGCTCTGCGGAATAGGCGCACCTTCCAAAGCGTGAGGAACGTGCAGAAAAGGTCAAACGCCACGGGCGCAAGCCAGAAGCCGGACACGATGTGCTTGCCCGGTGCGTCGCTCGCGGTACAGGGGCCCCGCGTGACGACGGGGAGGATGGTCTGGTGCACACCCGAAATGGAGACGAAGAGCAGGAACGCGGTCTCGCCGAGCAGCATGGCAGACAACAAGATCGCCGTCCACCGCTTGCGCCCGAGGAACGCGTGTGTGCGCATGGCGAGGATCGCCTCTGGAGAAGTATCGGTCAGTTGGAACGCGCCGCGCGAAGTGAGCGTTTCACGCACCGGATCCCAGGGTGACCCACATGCATGTCGCGGCGATGAGGAAATGGAGCGTCTTGCATTGCCCGACGGTGAAATTGGCGTTGAACAGCCAGAGGCAGAGCGCATAGGTAATAAGACCTGCGCCGGTCTCAGTGAGCTACTGCGCACGGCTGCGGAAGGTTAGACCGACCGTAGTATCTTGTCCATAGGTATAGACACTTGATCGATGTCCATCGGGATTTCCAGATGACTTCCCACTCGACTGGATGCAATTGTGAGCGGCGGGATTTTTCCCTAACTGAGTAAACCCACCTTGTAGACATACTAGCCAGTCCCATACTGCGACGGCCATCTAAGTAAAAAATCACATGTCAGCGTGAGCACCCCCTTCATGCTCAAAGGTTATGGCGTACCATTGCAGAAGTGTACACCTGCAGTACGTGCAGAAGACCGAACGCAGTCGCGATGGCCTCGGTCGTAACGGGGTCGGCGCCCAGCGACGCCGCCGCAATCTGGTTTACCTCGTACATGCCCGACATGATGACTGGTGGAACTCGGACGTGTACCTGACAGGGACAGGGGGAGGAGGGAGGGGGAGGGGTATGGCGGGACAAGATGGCTTGCCGCGTAGCACAGCAGCGTTCATATCACTGCGCCAGTTGCGGTCCCGTCAAATTGCGCCAGAACAACTGTGCGGCGCGCGGGCTCGGGGCTGCGGCCTTCCAACAGGGTCGGGAAGCGGTCTGATGTCGGGGGGTCCGTGGGGCAAGGCTGGGCGGCGAGGCTAAAGCTTGCCGCCAGACTCGAGTGTGATAATGTCCGACGACGACGGTCCAGGCCTCGAGGCGCGAAGGAATTCGGTGGCACTGCAAGGGGGCACCGCGCGTCAGGATGAGTTCATGAACAAAATGACAGCATCGTGGCGCCGGCGCGGAGATCAACAAATAAGGGCTCGAGGAAACCACATGACGGTAACCGAGATCTCTGTTCCTGACCGACGTACGGAAGAGTCGGGACCGTGAAGGATGCAAATGGCACGTGTACCAACTAATGCATTCCCCGCCCCCTATACGGGCCAGTTAAGGTTGAACAAGGACCCCCCTGAGCATGCACTTCGCCCCTGTAGCACGGAAAGAGAATAGTGGTGCTCACCTGTGCGGTGCGGTAACCTCGTTTGCGCTGGTGAGACGGACCCTCGTCGTTGTGCGGCTGGCCAGAAAACTTGGCCGGTTGCGACTTGGCTGGACCGCACTGTCGGGCGTCGGTAGTCGGGACATTGCTTTACCCCCGTCCAATATTGTTGAGATCTCTGGAGATTGGCAGAACGTTATCTCTCCCCATAGATCGGAACGTGGCCTATCTGGAGGCTTCGTGTCGCTACGCGTGCAAGCACGTCGGATGCTGTTCAAGCCCGAGCTTTGCGATGTTCTGTTCATAGAACTACGCGACGGCTGCCAGGCGATATTGGGACATGCCTCAAATTCGGGACTTCGTGGAAGTGAAATGGATCTTCCGGGGTCTCGTACCAGACAGGTTTCAGAGCAGGCATCAAAAAAGAACTGCAGCGTTGGCAAGTTGCGCTAGCCGAGTCCAGACGATGGCGACGGCGAAGCGCTGATTTGTCACGAGACAATATTGCAGTATTGATCTTGGCTGATGTTTCCCAAGTTCGGCCACGGCAGCAACGATAACAAACTGCAAGGGTGTCTTCACGCCTTAATATTGAGTGTGCAGTACTCGCTGGCCTTCCGCCAACGATATGTTGCATCCTGTGCGCAGTTGCGTTCGAGTGCAACAAGTTGAGGAAGCGCGTGAATGGCGGACGGAGATCTGGCGATCGTGTTTCACGCGGCGTCTTGCTCAATGCGGCATATCAAACCCGGCAACTCAGATTATTTTGCGGCAGAATGCGCCACTCAGGTGGCAGTGCCCGATCGGCATCCGCAGTTGACCCGCGGCGCTCTTCTCCTTCGCTCGTCGCGGTGCCGCAACCCCACCATTGACATGGGATTTCGTGAACTCGCCTACCAATCCTCGCACTGCGCTTGCTCGCACAGAAAAGTTCCAGTAAATCTATCAAGCTATGTTCTCGAGGCCACTCACTGACCGCGACAGTCACCAATCTGTCTTGTGTCCCCAATCCAAAAGATCTGATAAGCACTGCGGCCAAGAGTTGGATGGCACCCCTCAATTATATTGGCACTAGCCCCAATTCTTTTTGACAAGTTATAAAGAAATATATATCTAACCGCTTTCCAACATATTCATTCAGGTTGTGTTGAATGCGAGAACGCCCTCACGTCACCTTGCGGCTCGCGGCTCGTTTCAAGGCTATCTGGCCCTCTGAAATGACGTACGGTACCTGGTTCGCCGACACGCCGCCGACTCCTACTGGCCACCCGCCACAAAGCTTCCCCGGACGAGATCGATACAAACCTCGAGGCTGAAGAGCTCAATTTCGCGGCGGCCCGGGGTCTGGGCCAGGTCGTGTGGCGCACCACCCACGACGGTGATGCCGGGTGCTGTGTGCTGCACGGTGAGCGTCGGATTGGCCAAGGTTAGACGAGTTTATACGGCAGTTGAGAAGTGTTTGATGATATCGTGCTCGAATATTGCCGCCTCTTCTGGACTTTGAAGCCTCAAGTTTCCGATTTCCCATCTGTTCTTTTCACATCGGTAGGCGGGTACATCATGTGGCCGAATGCGGGGCCCGGGCGATTATCCGCATCCGTATAATTGCGATGATTCCCGTATAACGACATGTACAGAGGCAGAAGGAACAGCCAGTCGCGGCGTGTCATCCGCGTTGCACCCATTGCCAAGGCTCGAATCCAAGAGCACCCCCTCAAGTATCTTGATACCCACAGCCACCGAGCGTACCAGCACGCCTCTCTCCCTCTCTACACACTCTAGCGCCCCCTAACCAAGTCTCTACGCCATGCCCAAGCTCATCGCAGTCACAGGAGCCACCGGACAGTACGTGTTACTCTGCTGTGCATCCCTCAAACCCCGCATCTGATCTCCACGTCCTGCGTAGGCAAGGCTCGTCCGTAGTCGAGTTCCTCCTCAAGGAGCCGCAGACCTTCTCCGTGCGCGCGATCACGCGTGACCCCTCGTCCGCAGCCTCGAAGACGCTCGCCGCGCGCGGCGTCGAGGTCGTCAAGGCGGACCTGTCCTCGCTCGACGAGACCGCCGCCGCGTTCGCGGGCGCGTGGGGCGTGTTCGGGCTCACGCAGTTCTACGTGCACGGGTTCGACGGCGAGCAGCTGCACGGGCGCAACATCGTCGACGGCGCGGTGCGCGCGGGCGTGAAGCACCTCGTCTGGAGCACCGTCGAGGGCCGCGAGGGCGAGTGCGGCGCGATCTCGTGGCGCAGCAAGGCGCTCATCGAGGACCGCGTCATCGCGAGCGGTATCCCGTACACGTTTGTGTACATCCCGATGTACTATGGTGCGTGCAGCAGTATTCCAGCTACGCGCGGAGTAGGGGACTGACGTGGGCGCGGCCTGCAGAGAACTTCTGGACGAGCTTCTTTGCGCCGAGCTACGACGCGGAGAAGGGCTTCAACTGGTCCGTCGGCTTCTTGCCCGACGTGCCCATCTTCGCGTTCAGCGTCGCGGACATCGGCGGGCTGGTCGTTCCCGCCTTCCGCGAGCCCGAGAAGTACACCGGTACGCACCGTCCGCCTCCCCTCTTAGATTATGTTACTTACCGCGCGCGTACTCCATAGGTGCGAAGATCAAGACCGTAGTAGAGTACCTCACCCTGCGCGACCTCGCGACGCAGTTCTCGGAGGTCACGGGTGAGAAGGCGAGCCTCGCGCTCGAGCTCACCCCGGAGCAGTTTGAGGCGTCGCGGTACGCGGACCACCCCGCGGCGGAGCTCATGTACCTGTCGTGGGAGTACGTGAAGCGCGCGGGCCCCGATAGCGGTGTTAGGGTATGTGTCGTCGGCGAGTGTGCGTTGGCAGTGTCCGGCGTGTTTATGCTTTGTTGTGATCTAGGACCAGAAGCAGACGTTATCGATATACCCGCAGGCTAAGACGTACCGCGAGTGGGTCAAGGATAGTCCCCTGGTCAAGGACCTGGTGCAGAAGCTGAAGGCGGAGAAGAAGAGTGCTTAAGCACAAATAACAGGACTATTGGATAGGATGTACAGTACGTGGACAGCATGATTGGGCAACATCTTGTGCGCCAATTTCTCTCTGGTTCTGAAGTCGTGAATGCTTGGTGCTATGTGCCTTTCTGAAGTTAATCCCGCACCGTATGTTCTTCGAGTTCTCGCACGGGCGCATCAGAAAGTATGTGGTTGGTGTTCCAGCGAGAAAGGAGAGGCGGGCGCTAACAGGTCCGACGAACGGTTGTCCCGATCCGAACAGACGCCCAGCGTCTCGTAAGATGATTTCATTCGGATTCCATCGATCCTTACGCATCCGCACGGCCATCCCCAACGGCCACTGCAAGCTCTCAACCAAACGCTCGCATCCATACAGGTCGGGAACGTTGCAAGTAAAAATCATGTCATCCACAGAGACCGAGAATGGTGAGCAGGAATAAGACATCTCGAGTGGTTTTCGGACTGACGATCGTCCCCGATAGTCCTGGTTGGCGTCATCGGTGGCAGTGGACTGTACCACCTGGACAACCTCACGTTGTTGTAAGAGACACTCCAAACGTCACGGGAAACATATTTCTTACCACCACTGATACAGGAAGCACGTGAACCCGGAGACTGTAAGTGCGAGGCCCAGCTAGCGTCCACAAATCTCTAATCAGTTCTTCTCAGCCATGGGGTTTCCCTAGCTCGCCTATCGCGATCTGCAGCCTCCCTTCTGGCACCAAGGTAGCATTCTTGGCCCGCCACGGTCCCGGACACACCATCTCGCCATCCACGGTGCCCTCGCGCGCTAACATCGCCGCACTCAAGTCTCTCGGCGTGCGCGCGATCGTCGCGTTCTCCGCAGTCGGCTCCCTGCGCGAGGAGTGCGCCCCAGGCGACTTCGTGCTCCCGACGCAGATCATCGACCGCACGAAGGGCATCCGCCCCGCGAGCTTCTTCGACGGCACCAGCATCGTCGCGCACGCCGCGTTCGGCGACCCCTTCGCGAACCGCCTCGTGCGTTGGCTCGAGGGCCGCGTTAAGAAGGTGCTCGAGGCGGCGAGCGAGGAGGAGTTCGCGGTGGCTGGGGTGCGCCCGCAGACCCACACGGACAAGACCATCGTGTGCATGGAGGGCCCGCAGTTCTCGACGCGCGCGGAGAGCAAGATGTACCGCCAGTGGGGTGGGGACGTCATCAACATGAGCGTCCTCCCCGAGGCGAAGCTTGCGCGCGAAGCCGAGCTTGGGTATGTTGGGTTTGTCTTGTGTAAAACACGGTGCGCTGACGAGACGCGCAGGTATGCCCTCATCGCTACTGTCACCGACTACGACTCGTGGCGCGAGAACGAGAACCCTGTCACCGCGGCTGAGGTGTTCAAGACCCTCCACGCGAACGCAAAGCTGTCCCGCCACGTCGCTGCTGCGGTCCTCGAAGACCTCAACGCAGAGGCGGCTCAGGGCGATCTCCTCACTGAGGAAATCGGCTCGATGAAGTTCTCGATCATGCCGCGTTCTGTGGAGCAGAAGGACGAGGATAGGCAGAAGCTCAAGTACATTCTCCCTACGTACTTCAACTGAGCGCTATGAGTGGTGTGGTGCGTATCTTTCACCTGAGGAGGGATTTGTGCTGATCAGACCTTTTAGTTGAAGGAAGTTTCACAAGATGTGTACGAAGATTCGATGTACAAGACTGGGCATAACAAATTCAGTGTCAACTTGAACGCAGGCGCTTCGTCCGAGGACGAGAAGAGCGCCTCGTCGGCAACACAGACCCCGGCTCGCTGCCCGCATCGCGTGCCTCTGCATCTTCCTCCGTATCATCGTCCAAATCTGAGGGGAGCTCTATGGGCTTTCGCTTTGAGCCAGTTCCCTTTTCATTCGCCTTCTCCTCCTGATTGTCTTTCGTTGACTTCTTCGGCGTCTTCGCTTTTGGTACGAAACCGCCCGCGTTTCGAGCGAGGCAGCGCACGAACTCTTCGTCATACCCGACACAGGTCATTTTGTACGTCCACATGACCTGAAAAGCAGACCTCAGCAAAGATATCGTCATGACTGGTAGCTTTCCTAGGTACTGCGTCCCCGTCATCGAAAGCGCTCATGATATTTTCCTCGGTCATTGTGCTCCTGATCTCCTTGATGCGGGCCCCGGCGTCCTTCCATTCCTCCTTCGTAGGCTCGTAGTCAGCTCCCTTTCCTCGTCGGAGCCATATACTGGTACACCAGCCGATCCCCCAGTCCGTGCGCAGAATACCTCTTGCCCAGGTCCGCCGTACCTATGAAGGATCATCCGTGGTATTTATTAGCCTGTCGTCATGGACCTCTGTAAGCTCGAGAGGCTTACAATGGGCTTTTGGGCCTTGAAGGCGGTTGTGGTGAGCGGCTTTCCGATCTGAACCCTGTACTGTCCCATATATACCCATTCGCAGGGCCCAATGCCGACAAATACCCGGTCGACCCGCCCGTCAGGCCCTGCAGCCAAGCCCCCGCTCCCACCAAACGCAAGTCCAGAGGATCCGGGCCTTGTGGGCACGTGCGGGTTATAGGCCAGGGAGTGAAATGCCCAGTCATCGAGCCCATGCCACTCTAAGTGCTTTTTCGCGATCTTGGGGAAAGTCTCTCGCGTGTTTCCGCCATAAAGGCTCGTGATATAGTCGCGGCGGAACCGGAACTCCGCGATATCTTGCGGGACGGGGATCGGGTAGCGGTTGTTGATGCCCTCCCATGTCAGCGCATCTAGGAGGACTTCGTCGCTGAACTGCATCTCGGCCTTCACTTTCACATGCGGCTGGCCGTCGATGTGCATTCGTAAGTGCGGTTGTTCAAAGCCAATTGAAATAGGATCCTTACATTCTTCAGGTCTTCTACGGCGGCGCGGAGTGCTGCTCGACTCTCGTCAGGACTCAACTGGTCAAGCTCCAAGAGATTTCGAGGTTTTAGGTCAACGTCGTCGTTGGGCTCCGCCTTGACCAACACTTGTACATCCCCATCCGGCGGCACGTTCTCTTGGTTTTGTGTGGGTTCTCTACCTGGAGCATGAGAGCCTTGTTGATCACCCCGTGGTTCTGCTGCAATTGCACGCCCTTGCCGGAGGGCCCTCTCTCTTCGCTTTTCGATGTCGATGTTCCGCAGGAGTACTACCTCGATTTTGGCGCGTGGGAGGGGATGGCCATCCCATAATTGATCGACAGGTGCCGCGGAGAGCTGACCCATATCCACGTTTGAACTTCTATCGCCATCCTGCACCTACCGCATGAGATAGATCATCGTTAGAATCCGAGGTCAGACGCATCGCGCACTCCCGGCTTTACCTCGGATACATCCTGGGCAATGCCAAGCGGCGGCTTCTGGTCATCTTTGGAGTCGCGATACTACGAGGAGATGTTGATGATATTTAGCTTCTCCTACGAAGCGTACATTAATTGAAAATACGAGAGACACTCACGACGTTTGCCAAGAAATTCTCCCCGCCGTACGCGCTCTTGTCTTTCCCCAGTCTGAGCGGCGCGACGACGGAAACTATGCCTGACTTCGCGTCCAAATCTGAGGCATCCTGAAACCACCCCGCAAGGTGAGTACTTGATAGCTTGCGACTGCTTTTTACGTTCACGGCGAGAACCAACCTTGCGCTCGGTCTTGAAAGATACGTAGAGGTCCATCAGAGTGTTCTTGCAGGTAAAACAGTGTTGAGTGATTTATGCGCCCCGAACGTTCCCACTTCGTGCGGTGGCAGTTAGTATCGGGCAAGGCCGGACGCGCACTGGAGGCAAGGGAGGTAATCACAGCGTTCGCAGGCTGTAGGCTGCGCGTACACACGATGTCGAGTGAAAGGAGGCGGAGAGGAAGACACGCTGAGGTCTTACGTACATATCGCTTCGGAGCCTACAACGTGTCGGTAGCATGTCGGTTAATACGAGCCTACATCTAACGCAGTACTGCCTCCAAGTCGTTGCCACGATAATACACATCTTATCCTCTCATAAGAGATCGCGAGACTACAACATGATTATGAATGACGAGTACATGATCTACGAAGCAGATGACCTGGAGCTGATGAAACTACCTGCTTCAGGCTGCCCTACGTGCACTTAGCACTGCGTGTTCTGGTAGACCTGAGTGGCGAAGCACTATCGCGCCGCCATGTAATGTCAACCTCGAGTCCCTTATAGCATCATAGGCACGAACGACGTACGTTGTAGTTGTCAGCGTTGATCGCGGCCTGTCTGGGGCTGGTCTGTCCGAGGTTCCGGTCGAACGAGCACCCGTAGCCGACGTCATCAGTGCCCGACAGCGCGTGGGTGAGCTCGTGCAGAACGGTGCCGCCGCGGATGTTGCGCGAGGCGACTGTAGTGCCGCTGCAGAGGCGTGAGTTCGGCACTTCCTGGAAGAAGAGCGAGCAGAAGCTGTAGGTGAGTCACCCAGGAGATGAGTACGCAGTACTGTTCGATGAGGGGATGGACTCACTAAACGTTGGTCGTGGCGGTGAGGGTGTAAGCGATGACACCGCTAGTGCAGTAGCCGTAGGGGTCGACGCAGTTGAGCGTGCGGCTGCTCGAGTTCTCGTTGGCGACGGCCTGGTGAATAAGAATCATATAAGCAACGATGCTCGACGACCGCTTTCAAGTACTTACGCTCAGGACGCTGCGCACGGTAGAGGTCTGATGAAGCAGTCAGCATACGTAGACAGCATTAGCAACACTGAGAACACGCACCGACGTCGTGCCGAAGTACGACCTGAAGAGCGTGTCGGCGCCGTTGCTTGAGACGTAGCTAGAAGCAATGGAGGCGAGGCTCCTACCCTCAGAGAAGCTCGAAGCGATGAAGCTGTTCCTGCTGCTGTCTGAGCACGAGACGCGGGCGCGCTTCTCGTGCGCGACGGCGATCTCACGCTTCGCAACGTCCTGCTCGACGTTGACCTTCACCTTCTGCGCGGCAACTTTGAACGCGCGCGGCTCCGCATCCGCCTCGATGACCTGGAAGGTAGTCACCGGCTCGAACTCGAATGCACCCGCACCGAGTTTCTCGAAGTTGTAGAGCGAGGCGACTGAAGTGAAAGCGAGTCAGCATGGACGAACAGCAAGCACGAAGTCGCTGAAACCCACCCTGGTGCTCGACGAGGATGGTCTCGCCGGCGGGGATCACCGTGAAGGCGGAGTCGTCGAGGGAGTCGATGTCGAGCTGGAGCTTGACACCGGTGAAGTCGGCCGTGACACCATCCCGGCTGACGGTGAACGAGCGGGTCGGGATCTCGCTGTCCAGGACGGTGCCGTACTTGAGGACCTTGAGATCCTCGGAACCCGTGTTGGTAACAGCAGCGGTGACCTTGATGTCGTCGATGGAGTTGACGTTGGCCGGGGCTGTTCGTGTCGAATCCGGTCAGTAAGCTGCGACGCATGTCATGAAAAGAGGGCATACCTGTCAGGGACACCTCCAGCGCAGGGGCGCGCTTCGCGGGGGTCGCGAGGGAGAGGGCGGCCGAGACGGCGAGGGTGATGAACGCGAGAGAGAACATGGCGACCGTTGGAAGTGGACTGTGCGACCCGTAGACTGCCCTTCGAGTGTCTGACGTTCCAGGGCGACGAAGGGGCCTTTATATCCTCTGGAGACAGCACCTCGCCAAGAAAGAGAAGTTGGTGCAGCATATGGGTGTGGCTAGCGTATCACATTGTAGGAGATGCAGCAGGTGTCTGTGTGCTGGGCGACTCCATACAGCGGACATGCCGGGAGGAGAGAAGCACGAGGACCATAGGGCCAGTTCAAGGTACTATGATGTTCCGTGGCGCTAGGAAAGTTCGTCATGCGGAAGGTGCCGTTCCAGGTTGCTTGAAGATCCATCCCTCAGCTGTCTATTACGAGAGTCAGTCCTGCGGGACAGACAGCGATATAGCCCGGCTCACCTTCGAAGTGCCGCTGCGACCTCTACAATTGTAAATAGACCGCATCCGCTAAGGCCCCAGAGACATGATGCGCGCAGCCAGTGTCTGCCCTGAACGTCGGGCGGCCGTGTCAACATCACAAAAGAAAACTCTTCCTCGGAGCGGCGTTCTTGTAAATCCGGCGAGTTTATTGGAGGGCCTCGACGAAGAATGAAATTCGATCGCTTGACCTCGGCCGCCATGGTCACGATGGATCTCATGGAGGCCTCGCCCAGCGATACCAACCTACTGAACAAGGAAACCACACACCTTGTATGTTATCGGCGCCAAGCGCGAAGAAAGATACGAGCATCCAGGCAGACAAACATGATGTAGCACTGCACATGGACGACATGGAGGCAAATCAGCACTCCCTCACTTGCATGATGTCAGATGGCTGCCAAGCCTAACATGAACATTCGGCGAACGACATGCCGCCGGGTGCGACGGCGTAATGGCCGGTCGGAAGTATGCAGCTCTGTACCAAGAGAGGTAGTCAGCTGAACCGGCGTTGAATCGAGAGGTACGAGCCCATACGCACCCTCGTGGCTGTGATGGACGACCTAACTGCCAAGAAATTCAGCGTCTGTTTCGCCGCCGCCGCATGAGTGCGCGACAGCATTGTCCGCTGTCGCCATTTGCGACGAAATACGGAGTTCAAAACGATGGACGTTGTCCACGTCTTGTACGACCTATGCCGGTCTGAACCCGACGCCAGGGGTCGATGACAACATTTCCGGCGCGTCCTGGTCTTTGTCTCCATCGCCGCGGCCGCGGCCGCGGCCATGCTATCCATTCCACCGAGGTGCTTTCGGACATAGCGCAACGTCCATGAGGGCGAAGGCCGCTTTGTAATAAGGGGCTCGCTTGGCCCCGTCACACCCACCAGGATCAAACATCCATTGCAGCCGCTATCATTGCCTCTGCGGCATCGTACCTCTCAGACATTTTCGCTAGCGATGTCGGTGTGGTCTTCTGTGGCAAAAGACTTCTGATTGCCCCGTGAGTCAGGTCGCCGCACTCTCTTAGGAATCGTAAACGACTCACTCGGTTTTGTGGGGCGGAGGTCGGCGCCTACAACGGACGACAGGATATCTGCATAACTACTGGAGACCCGATGCGAGTCGCAAACGCGTGGATCAATCCGAGAAAGAAAGCAACAGCAGTACGATTGCAGAGTCCATGTCACAAAAAGCTCGTCGAAAGCCTGGAAGATGTTACCGATATAGTCCAGGAAGTATCTTGCAAACATCACACGGAACACGCACTCACGCATCCTTGGCCTTGAGACCGAGGGTCTGCGCGATGAAGCCGTACTTGTCCGCGTACTCCCGGATGCTGGCAGCCCGAAGTTAGTCATCATTACTAGTGTGACGCAGAACAATATGGGTTGCACGTACCGCATCTCCGTAGACTTGCCGGCGCCGTGGCCCGCCTTCTTGTCGACGCGGAGCAGCAAAGGTTGTGGGTTGTTCGGGTGCAGGTGCTGCAGCGTTGCAGCATGCTTGAAGGAGTGCAGAGGCACGACGCGGTCGTCATCTGTCCAGCACCACCGTGAGCGCTAGGATATGAGTCAACAGTGTCATGGGCCTACGGTCGGCAGTCGTGAGCATGAGAGGAGGCAATGTCCTGTCCGTCGGGACGTTGTGCACGGGCGAAATCGGGTAGATGAAGTCGAAGTCATGCGGGTTGTGCGGATCGCCGTAGTCAGATGTCCATGCGCGGCCTGCGGGCATGCGGGTAAACACATAATATAGGTATAAGTCTGCCTCAGGGAGTCTAGGGACTTACCAATGGTGAAGTCTGCAAACTGGGGGGGACGAGTCAGCATGGATGTCCTTCACGTCTGCCGTACAAGTGGCCTACCTTCAACAGATCCAGAACGCCCACATCGGCAACGGCGGCACCCAGAAGGCCCTCAGGCGCGCGGTTGACACACGCGGCCACAAGCAAGCCTGGTCGAGACCGAGAAGCATTCAGCGTTTAAGCACCGCTGCCAACAAAGGGAATGCTCACCTCCGTTCGAGCCGCCGTTTATGGCAACCTTGCCTCGCGCCGCGTACTTGTTGTCGACGAGGAATTGCCTGTACCAATGCGGATGAGTAAGACGCAGCGTCGAGAACAGCATACGTCACGCACGTCGCGGCGATGAAGTCATCGAAGCAGTTAACCTACACGCTTCCCCGTCAGCGAGAAAGCCTCACCCTCGGGTCCCGGGGTGCCCGAGATGAGAGCCGAAATCCGGTACGCACCTTCCGTTCACGGGTGCCGGCGAGGTGCCATTCTTCTCCAAATTCGCCTCCGCCCCGGATGTTTGCAACGGCGAGGATGGCGCCATACTTCTGCATCCAGCTCAGTATGGCCGGGCTGAAGAACGGGTTAATAGAGATCGTGAAGCCGCCGTAGCCTACGCGTGCAACGTTTGAGCAACCCTATTAATCATCTCGGTGTCGGACATACCATATTGCAGGGCAGGCGCAGTGCCGTCGAACTTGGTATCCTTGTGCCGGACGATGAACATGGGCACGCGAGTCCCGTCCTTGCTGGTGTACCAAACCTACTGCCGGATTAGTGCGTGTGTAGATGACGCCCGTCAAGTCTGCCCACCTGTTCCGCCGAGAAGTCCTTCGGGTCGAGACCGCCCACGAGAGTCGTCCTGTAGATGCTCCATCGTTGATCCTCGTTCTTTTCCTCGAAGTTGTACCGTGCGACGATACCCGGGTTGGTGAAGCCAGTCAAGGTAGAGAAGAAGAACGACTGGCCGCGCCGGCCGTTGACCGATGCCGCACCGACAAAGTCAGGCGCAAGACGCGTGAGCTGCTTGCCAGTAGACAACTGGTACAAGTAGATCTCGTCGATGACCTAATAGCCTCATGAACGTGAGTATGAAGTACGCCATATCATGGGGAACGCCGCTTACGTTACGCTTGTAGACGACCGCCGCATGGTCGCCATTGATCGCAAGGACGTCCTGCAGGTGAGCCTTCTCATCTTCTGGAATGAGTTCCTTAAAGACACGTTTTTCGGCCGGGTCGGCAATGTCAACGCTGACGAGCTTATACAGCGGCGCGTCCTTGTTAGTGAGGAAGTAGAATTTCGTGCCGTCATTCGCAATGCTGCCTTGCGGTCAGTATGCATGATTCAGCGAGGAAGGGAAGAGGAGACGCCGCCTACTATTCATAGTTTGCTTCGAACTCATCGATGAGCTTGTCCCATTGAATGTTCTGATCAATCGACCCCTTTTGCAGGTCCGCGATCCACAGCAGTTTTTTCTAAATGGGTTACGTGAGCATGTCGAGGCAAACAAACGCACAAGTCCCGGAAGGTAAACACGTACTCGCGAAGTGTCCCGTGTAATTGAAAGGAGCAGATAACGACCATCGAGCTCAGTGATCTCCGTGCCCCACATCCATTCGGGATTCGACTCGTCTCTGTAAACGAGAACGTCCTCGGCTGTTGGTTTGGGTAATCAGGCATCATCAACACGACGGACTTTGGATGAGTCCAGGCCTGGGTACGTACATTGCTGCGTGCCGACCTTGTGATAGAAGAGCATTGCGTTCTTGTCGCTTTGCGTTTCGGTACCTGCCAGATCGTCGGCTGCCGAACCATGGGTCTCCCGAGATGGGAACCGCTGAGAGAGGTTAGGTTAAATTGCCTAGCATGACGCTCAAGATTGCACCCACCTGGTAGAAGAATCCCTTCGAGTCGTGTGTCCAAGAGATACCAGAAAACTTCACGAAGCGGATCTCGTCGGGAAGCCGGTCATCATCATGAGACGGCTTACTGCCATCCACAGACGCCAGCGGGGCGGTGGTGGGGCGGACATAGACTGTGAAGAAGTCGCTGCCCTGAAGAAGACAGCGCAGATCCCGTAAACGTCGGCCGGAGTTACTTTGACTCGAGGAACTCACCGAACGCGAGATACCATAAGCGAAATGCTTTCCGGAGCGTGCAAATGCAGTCGCCGCGAGTGCTGCAGTGCCGTCGGAAGAGAGCAAGTTTGGCTGTACGCGTATTATTATGCAGGAGGATTAGCATCATGCGAACGTGAGCGAGTGAGCAAATCTTGTGAGTATTATGAGTCGGAAGACCTACGTCGAAAAATACCTCGCCCCCTACGTCGTTCCCTTTGGAGAAGTCAGGGAGGCTGCTGTCCTTAGAGCGGTAGAGCACTGCAACATTCCGGTAGGGTCAGCGGACTGAGCATACGCGTAAGTGAGCTTTAAAACGACCCACCCGACTGTGCTTGGAGGCCGCTGTTGTGGTACCAGTACCAGCGGCCGTCGTCTTTCAAGGCGGGTGCGGAAAACTGAGAAAGGGACGTGGTAAGAATTCAAAGACGCGCCAAGACGCGTGAAAGACGCGTCATACCTTCGCGTAATCCATGTTCTTCCGAATTTGGTTCTCCAGGTCCTGCCGTTCGGGATTCTGGTCGAGGAATTCGCGCGTGAACTGCTCCTGGGCGGTCGTCCATTGATCGGTTTCCTCCGTGTTGTGCTCGAGCCATTCGTACGGGTCCTGAACGCGAACCTCGCCTTTGGTCTCACTCTTGTAGATGTCGACGTGGTCAGAACGGCGAGCGGTAGGGTACCGGTTGGGCACCCAGCGAGTGGGAGAGGCTGGCATGTTGGGCGGTCTGGAAGTGGAGGCTAGACGGGTCGAGAGATGGACGGCGCGTCTTATATGGACGGGTGGAGCTCGGAGAGATGCTGCCACAGATGAGAAGAGGGAGAGCATGTGCTTTATAGAGGCTGTGGAGGATCGGAGGGGATCTCAGGCTATATCGATTACTCCCCAGACAAGGGAACGCGATCTCTGGGGGCCAGGAACATGTCAGCATGACTGCCACACACAGAACGCCTGCAATCCAATTACATGTTTATCAGGCTCGGAACTCGAATAGTCGCAGAGGGCACTGCACCATCGATGGACGCCGCCGGGGCGAGGCAAACGTGGAGGCAAGGGCGTCAGGTTGAGGCCGAGGGCTGTAAATTAATATTGGCCGCTGTAGCTGGCTGTCACCGGGTTTCGGGCGTCCGCTGCGTGAGACTGGGAGTATCCAAATTTTCTTCCGTGAACACCGCGTCGTCCTATGGCTCTAGCGGCGAAGGCTAAGCAGAGAATACACGGACACGCGGCGGCCGTGGACGTTCAGTTCTGAGTCGCTCCTCTCGTCCCCGGCGCGCGACTCGGACTCACGCGTAGTACTTTTCGGCGTCTATCTTATCTTTCACGATAAACGTCAGAATTTCGTTGCGCCGCGCTATGTGCCGCGCTCGCGCGCGCGTCCTGCCGAGTCAGCTTGTCCCCCTCTCCTCCTTGACGTTCCCCCCACTTTGACCTGTCTGCTCGATCCAGGCGACAGCATAAATTGGGCGTGAATGTCCCAACCGCAGCGGAGTCCACCGAGCTTCTTTCCAACCTCGGCGATTGTGAGTTTCAGTGCGCCCCCATTCATTCGTAGTGTCTTGTCAGGCTGACACCATACTTGCGTCAAGGACCATGCTTTCGCGGGGCTCGGCGCAGGCGTTGTTGCCGTGCTGTGTATGCACCCGCTTGATCTTCTCAAGGTCAAGTTCCAGGTAGCGACGGACAAACCAAAGGGCGGGGTCGGAAAAGCCATTTGGTCTACGTTGACGGAAATTCAGGCGCGGGATGGTTGGCGGGGCCTTTACAGAGGGGTTGGGGCCAACATTGCGGGGAATGCGTCGAGCTGGGGACTTTACTTCCTCTTGTGAGTTCTTGCGTGCAATGGTCCGTGTGCTTCTGCTAATATCGGCGGAAATACCAACAGTTACCACATGCTCAAGCAGCGTGCCTCCGGTGGTGACCCTAATTACAAGCTCTCCCCCGGGTCATACCTCTTATGTTCTGCTCAAGCGAGTTCGCATGTCCCTCGTCTTTATTTCAACTCGACGTGCTAACGTCTCCCCACGCAGGTGCGGTGACCGCAATCATGACAAATCCCATATGGGTGGTGAAGGTCCGCATGTTCACTACCCAGCCGAACGACCCTACCGCGTACCGCAGCCTTTGGCGTGAGTGCATAACCCGCATCAGGGTCGGACAAAACTCACCCTACGGAGAATAGATGGTCTGTCGTCAATATACCGGCAGGACGGGATATCGGGGTGGTACCGCGGGACGTCTCTGGCGCTCTTCGGCGTGAGCAACGGCGCGATACAGTTCATGATGTACGAGGAGATGAAACGGTGGGGCTTCGAGCGCAAGAAGCGGCAGTTCGCTAAAGCGGGCAAGGAGTACACTCCCGCTGACGATAAGCTAGTGCGTCATCGCGCCTTCTCCTGCTCTGCGCCTTCTCTGACGTCTTCGCGTAGTCGAACACCTACTACACCCTCATGTCCGGGGCCAGTAAGCTCATGGCCCTAGCCTCCACGTACCCGTACCAGGTTGTCCGATCGCGGATACAGGTGCGCATCGCCCACACCCCTCTAGCAGACCCCTGCTGACCGGCGCGCGATACATTGCACAGAACAACGCCACCACGCACCTGTACCCCACGATCCCCGCGTGCGTGAAGCGAACCTTCGCGGAGGAGGGCGTGCGCGGCTTCTACCGCGGGCTCGGCACGAACCTCGTGCGCGTCCTCCCCGGGACGTGCGTGACGTTCGTCGTGTACGAGAACCTCGCCTGGCTGCTCCGCACGACCGCCGGCCGCCGCGAGCAGCGAAAACGTCTCGAGGCCGACTCGTAGCCCGTGGTGGCGCCTCCGTGATGCGCGGAGGTGGGCCGGACGTGCGCGGATGCACTCGTGGACCGGTGCGCCGGGGTTCTAGTGCGATCGTGCAATCTCCCGTGCACAGCGCGCGCACGAGCAGCGCGGAGACAGCAGTGCCACCTGCCAGAGCTCGACCGCGTATGTGCGTGCGGGGGGCTAGATGGGGGGCGATAGAGTTGACGGACAAGTGTGCAGGGTGGCTGGACCCCGCGCTGCCAGCCTGACTGCAGCCGGGCAGCGACGCGTGGAGGACGGACGGCCCTTGATCAGTAGAATATCTTCGCCGCAGGCTAGCATCTAGCAGCCTGTGTATATCGTAATGCGCCTCGTACTGGCGCGGAAGCAACCACCGATTACGAGAAACGCCGAGCGAGGTGGCCAATGGTGTGTGGCGAGCTGTGGGTGCATGTGTGCAACGCGGCGGTGAGTCCATGTTAGCGTGTCGCCCTGGCGCTGCGGATTATAATCGAGAAGTGCCGCCTCGAGGCTCGTGTCGTGGATATTCGAAACGGGGCGCTCGTCTTCGCGAGGCGTAGATTGCTATCAATACAGTGAACGGTAGGAGATCGTGCTCTGATTGAGCCCTTTGGTGAGAGCCCATAACCCACTGTTCCTAGGGAGTCTAGCGCAAGGCGGGCGTCGTGGGCATTGAGCGGCGAAATACTGACACAACTTTCTGTCCATCGATGCACGCGTTTTCTGCACGCTACCGAGCCCGACGGGCTGTCGATTTGCCAAGACGTGCTATCGAGGCCATCGCGCTGCAGGTGCGCTCGCGCCTCATCGCAATGGTAACGGCATCGGGCCCATGGGGTCAGCCTTGAGGCACCGGCGGAGCACGTGAGGGGATCTCCGTCTTCAGGACCCGGTTCGCTTTCGACTTCGGGACCGGCGCTGCGGGGCGGAGAGGTGTCAAGGGCAGCCCTGGCAGGGTGGCTGCGATGCTCACCGTTCGTGTTCTCCGTGATGTAGAAGCGGCGGAGGACCATGATGGCCTCGTCGTGCATGTAGCCTCCTACGGCGCGGTATTCTGGGTGTTCTGGATGCGGTAGGCTGAGGAAAACAACGTGTCGTGTGAGCGATTCGAGCGCATTGGCGAGTAAAAGGGTACGAAACACACGCGCTGTTGACCCCGAGTACGCTGCCACATCCGCCGAAGCGGTCGTTTCCGCAGCCGTAGTAGACGTCCTTGATCCCCATCTGACGTAGTGCCGATGCGCACATAATGCATGGCTCGACAGTGACGTAGAGGGTCGTGGTCGCAAGTGGATGTTTTGTTACCTCGGGTGTGAGCTGCTTGTCGGCAAGAATTTCATCGATCGCCTCGAGCTCTGCATGGCGGGTTGCCTGTAAAGCAGGAGTTGATAATGTGAGGGCGTGCGCGAGTGGTCAGGAAGAGCAAATGTTGCTGACATTTCGAAGCTGGTTGGTCCGATTCCGCGCCCTTGCGATGATCCTGTTGTCCCGGACGAAGACGCAACCGACGGGGACTTCTTGAGCCGCTAAAGCTTCTTCCGCCTAACGTTCGTTAGTTAAAGAGTCAAGACTGCTGAGGGCGTCTGACCATTTCCATAGCGCATTGCATCCATTCTAAGTGTATGCTTTCCCCTTCGCTACTACCCGAACGCATGCCCTGCTGTGCATCGACACCGTCGCTGGACATCTAGATCTATTTAGAAACGCTTGTACGAGCCTCTGATACCTGACTAGTCGCAAAGCAAGATATATGAGGCAAATTCGGAGTAGTGCGGAATCCATTTATTCGAAGGACGTACTGTTTGTGCAGTGGGTAAATCGAACAAGGTTCGGTAGTGGTTCGGTTCAACGTTTGCGGCTGCACGTCGATGGATAATCCGTTGGCTTCCCTTCTAGCCATTCTGAACGTGATCAATAGACTACCGCTCACAAGTTTCCCTGGGTTTTACAATACGAAGTAGAGCCTTTGCGTTGTTCAGACTTCTCCGGGATGTGTATGTTTTCAAATCCTTCAGCCATATGTCATGAACACTAAAACGCCCATCCGGATTGGTCAATCACTGAGAGAAGAAGACCTTCCAGAATGGGACCGGAAGAATCATATGCACCATCACTTACAACAAGCGCGCGCCCGATCGCTCCGGAATCCGGTTACTTTACATCGGTCTCCCCGCGCGCGCGGGGTAGACCACTCTCAACCCCGGACCCCTCTGTTCAGCGCACTCTCACTTCGACACGCGCAGACGACTCTAGGAAAGTAGGAAGGTCATGGCTGGAAAGACATTCACGGTTGAAGAGGTCGCACTGGTAAGAGCTCTCGCGTAATTCTCGTGGTTGACGCCTGACACCACCGCCTCATCCCAGCACAACAAGTCGGGGGACTTGGTGAGCACCATCCAGCGCAAACTCTACAGGAATTAAAATGAAAGGCATAACAGTGGATCATCATTGACTCTAAGGTCTTTGACATCTCGCGCTTTGTGAACCTACATCCCGGAGGTGCCGGCGTACTGCTCACCAAGAACATCGGTGCGTGGGATTCTGAGCCATGGCACGAGCACCGTAGCTAAAGAGTCGACCAGCTGGAAAAGACGCAACCGAGGCCTTCTTTGGCCTCCACCGTCACGAAGTCCTCCTGAAGCCTCAATACGCCCGTCTACAAATTGGGACTATTGAGGGCCAGAAAGAGGTGGTCAAGCCCTTGGCCGCGGGTGAATCCTCGCAAGTGCCCTACGGAGAGCCTGCGTGGCTATCACCCGGTTTCCACAGTCCATACTACAACGAGAGCCATCGCAAATTCCAGAAAGCCGTCCGGAAGTTCTTCGAGGAGGTCGTATACCCGGACGCCGTCAAGCACGAAGATGACGGCAAGCGGATATCGCAGGACGTCGTCGACAAGCTATGGTGTGCTGATATATAATTTACTATTGCGTGGTACAGCATACGCTAACGCGCGCGCACAGTGAATTGAACATACCGGCCATGCGCATTGGTCCCGGGAAGCATCTGAAGGGGCGGACACTCATGGGTGGCATCATCACGCCAGAGGAGTTCGACCATTTCCACGAGGTCTTTATCTCTATACAAATGTCTGACTTGACATACTGACCTTCCCGTCCAGCTCATCATCAACTTCGAGGTCGGCCGGCTTGGAACGCGTTCCTATGTCGACGCGCTCCTAGCGGGACAGGTCATTGGTCTACCCCCAGTACTGAACTACGGCTCGCCCGAGCTCCAGGCGCAGGTCGTCCCCGAGGTGCTGGACGGCAAGAAGTTCATCTGCCTAGCTATCAGCGAGGCATTCGCGGGGAGCGACGTTGGTGGCCTGCAGACGTATGCTGAGCGCGACGGGGACGAGTGGGTGATCACAGGAACCAAGAAGTGCGCAATTCTCGGGATCTGGGACTCCCATTATTCAAGCTAACGGTATACTTCTATGCTTGAAGGTGGATCACCAACGGCACGTTCTCGGATTACTTCACAACTGCCTGCAGAACAGGGGTATGTCCCCCACTCAGCTCGTGCACCTGTTCCTGCCACTAATCGTGTCGCTTCCCTCACACAGGACGCATACACGGTCATCCTCGTTCCCCGACAAGACGCGATCTCGACCAAAGCCGTGAAGACCGCCTACTCGTCCACGGCCGGAACATCCTACGTCACCTTCGACGGCGCCCGCGCACCCGTCGCGAACACGCTCGGCAAGGTCGGGCGCGGGATGCAGGTCGTGCTCAGCAACTTCAACCACGAGCGCTGGATGATCGTGTGCACGAGCCTCGCCGCGCAGCGCCGCGTCGTCGAGGAGTGCCTGAAGTGGACCGCGCAGCGCGTCGCGTTCGGGAAGCCGCTGAACGCGCAGCCTGTTGTGCGCGCGCGCCTCGCGAATATGATTGCGCGCATCGAGGCTGGGCAGAATTGGCTTGAGTTCGTTACGCACCAGATGAACAACGTGCGTCGTGGTTTCCGGGTCATGCTCTGCGGAGGTTGACCGTTTGCGTGTAGATGTCGTACGATGAGCAGTCGGACAAGATCGCCGGCACGATTGGATTGCTGAAGCAGTACGTGAAATTACTCTCTGGCTACCGTAACAGCAGGCTCACGGATGTGTTCGTAGGTATGTCACCCGTACTGGGCGTGAGACTGCGGAGGACGCGACGCTGCTGTTCGGGGGTCGGGGAATCACCGCTACCGGCATGGGCAAACTCATCGAGAACGTACGTAGCTCTCGCTGTTATCTAGATATTGTGGCTGAACTTGTTCCCGCAGTACCATCGGACATCGCCGTACGATGCCATCCTGGGGGGCTCGGAGGATGTGCTCGGCGACATGGGCGTGCGGCAGGCGATCAAGAAGATGCCCAAGAACTCTCGCCTGTGAGAGGATAGGGGCCGGCGGAACCTGACTCGCATATACCTCAAACCTCTCGTGTAATTCTACTACTCACAGCTGTATAATAGGACTGCGGAGGCCTTTTTTGGACTGCATTGATGATGACAAGAACCAGGTCTGACTGACCAAGAGGGTGACACGTGTATACACATAGGATACTACATACAAGATAAGTACCAAGAACATGCGTACGGAGAGCGAGGCAACAAGAAAGCGGATCTACGACAAGGACAACGGAGCGACACGGACGCAAACACGATTTACAATATGAATATAACCATACTTTCTGGGGTCACAATTAGGCGCGGTTCTGTAAACTTGGTTTGGCAGTGGTGTGGGTATAGGCAGTCTAGTGCACGTCTGCGCACTACACCGGGATAGGGTGGTTCATAGTCTGAACAAGAAACCAAGCTAGGACGTGGCCAAGCGTTAGTAAGATGCAAGCGGGGATGAAGATCGGGAATGCTCACATCTTCGGGAGTCAGGCGGCCCATTGCCTACAAGAGCGCGCTCTATCAACACCGCGTTGACACCGAGAACACTGAACCACCTACCGATTCGTCAGCGGAAAGTGTAGCGTCGACCATAGCACCCTTCTTCTCTTGCAGCTAGTGGTCGTCGATGATCAGACAGGGCCGTCTCGACAGCTGCGTGCACTCGAGCTTACCTGGATGATACGACTCTCAATGCTATCCTCTACAACGAGCTTGATCGCCTGCACGGGACGGTGCTGTCCGAGACGATGGATACGGTCCATGGCCTCTGCAATGTGTTGTGAGCAAAGGAACAGAGTAGTGCGAGGAAACTACTCACGGAACTCGACGGCGGGGTTCCACCAGCTGTCCATCAAGTACACGCGCGAAGCTTCCGTCAAATTCAGCGCAACACCTCCCGCTTTCAAGCTGACGAGGAAGACTGTGACATGGACGTTGTTCACTGCGACAGATGTAAGCCACACGATGACTACAGTAATGGCGAGGGCGACGTACTGAAGTACTTGATGGTGGCATCACGGGCCTGCGGGCTCATCGTACCCTCCAGACGACACACCGTGAAGCCCGCCTTCTGCAGCCTGAACGCGATGAGGTCGAGGAAGTTGACAAACTGGCTGAAGACGATGCTTTTGGTGGTCGCGTCCTGCGCCCGAAGGTTGCTGAGCTCCTCCACCAACGCCTCGATCTTAGTCGACGAGCGCCATTTGTCGAGGTCAAGGCGGCCAAGGATGCCCTGACGCGCCTTCGCAGTCTCCTCGAACTCCAAAGCAGGAGCTTCGAGGTCGATGGTGAGGGCGACGTGACAAACGGGGCACGCGGGCTGATATCGACATGTAAGGCTATGGACGGCGACATATGCGTGGCGTGACGCACCGTTAGTTCTATGGCAGCCTCGAGGTACTGCTTGATGCACTCGCGGTCGAAGATGTGACGACACTTCGCCTGAATGGCGTCTTCCGCAAACTCGTGGCAGAGACGGCAGACAGTTCCCTCATCGACCTCTTCCTGGACGAACATGCCTGCGTTGTTCTTGCTGCGCAGTACCAGATCCGGGTGACACGCCATTTGCCGCATGCGAGTGAGCCTAGTGGGGATGATCAGCAGATATACGAGACTTCCGCACATGGAACAGCTCACAAGCTGAAGATGTTTGAGTAGTCTACGGACAAATGTCAGCGGCGGGATGTGAAGACAGATAAGCTAAGACATACTGTTCAAGATTGTGCCTTGGCCTACGTAGGTGTTGAACTGCCGCTTGGCATCCGAGAACAGGGACAAATAGAGCTCTTTCTCCTCTGGGCTGAAGTAGTCTCGTTTGATAACGACGGTCCGGGGAGGCAAGCCAAGGTCGTCTGCACGTTGAACCTGAGACCGAAAGAGTCAGTACGCATACATAGAAGGCGAAGCGCTGACGGACCTTCGTACGCCGGAGCATCATCCTGTCCAACAGAATCTTCAGCTTCTTGAATGCGTGCTCGCCTGGGCCTTGCATTCCATTCTTCTGGATAGGGGTCAGGATCTCGTTATTCCAGAAGCATGTCTAAAAGTAGGGAAAGTCAGCCCGCTGTACGAGTTTGAATGGCGGGGAACACGTACGTGCTTCATCGGGCTATGCCCGCAATCTGAAAGTGATGACAGTCAACGCCAGAAACCGGATCAACTGCGAAGAGGACGAACCATCGCACGACCGTTTGTCGCTGAACTTCCAATGCAACGACTTGCAGTCGCACATCTTGCCTGTCGAACGATGAGCACACAGCAGCGCATTCCGAGGATTCACCGCGACGTACAGAAGTAGTACGAGAATGGGTCACCTCCCAAGAAGCGGACGAGACTATACAACTCGCCGACACGGTTCTGTAGCGGCGTTCCAGAGAGGCACCATCTGTACTTGGCTTGTAGCTCAAAGGTAGCCTTGGCAGTGTTCGTCTGTCGCTCTTTGATGTTGTGCGCCTCGTCGAGCTGAGGGGACGCCATGTGAATTAGCAATTATTTACAACGGAGAGAAGAGGAACCTACGATGACCCTGTTCCACTTGATCGAATGGAGAACGGACTTCTCCTTTACGATCATTCCCTTGCGTTTGAAACCGCTGTGTTGTTTGCGGAAGCAGCTCTCCACGACGGCGTACGAAGTAAGGACCACGTCATACTTCTTCAGCTCGCTGATGCTGGACTCCCTGGACGCGCCGTGCCACACCAGCGTCTTGAGCATGTTGTCTGTGTGCAGTTCGATCTCGTTCCTCCACTGCATGATAGCGACGGTAGGGCTGTATGTCGACGTAAGATGGTCATGTACAAAATCGAATAGTCGCAACGCACGCTATGACGAGGTTGGGCTTCGCGCCGTGGTCGGAGACCATAAGGGAGATCATTTGGATAGTCTTGCCCATACTAAAGCATACGTTAATAAGAGGAAGCAACGCACAGATATGTAATAACACGAACCCCATCTCATCCTATTGCGAACGACCATGAGTGGATGTCATACAATCGGGGTGTTCCAACTACTCACCGCAAGCATGCCTCCACTCCAGATGCCTTGTTCTTGCTGCTTCATCCAGTACAGGCTCTCGAGTTGAAACGGCAAAAGTTGAACTTTCAAGTTCGCAGGCTGCTCAGCCTTCTGCGGAACGACGACCTCGATCTTCTGTTCGAGGTCGCCCCAGACATCTTTGAGTTCAGCATGGTGCTTGTGAAGCGCAATGGTCGACTTCTCCGCCTATGTGTGTGGTGCATGAGCACAATGAGCCCGCTGTGTTGTGCGGTGAGACTTACATATGTAAGACGTCGCCCAAGTTCCTTCCGCAGTGCGGCCTCTTCCACAGCGGTAACGTAGCGACGCTCTCTTGCTTGCTTTCGCTCCTCCTTCTTGAGCTTCTTCAGTTCCGCGATGGTCATCGACTTCTTCTGAGGGAGAGGTTTGGCGACCTGTTTACCCTTGCCCTTGGCCTTGCCTTTACCCTTGCCCTTGGAAAGTGGTTCCTCGTCTGACTCCGACTCAGACAGCAACGCCTCGGGCTCGGTTGTCAAATCAATGACATCGGAGCTCTCATCCTGAGCACGACGCCGCTCCGCCGCAGCGGCCCTCAAGGCCGCTGCTTTGTTGGCGGGAGGTCGCGCCTTCGACGAGCCGGCACCAGCGCTAGTGAGCCCCGCAGCACGCTCCCGGTCCTCACGGGCGGTCTGCAAGGACTGCTGAGTAGCGTCATACAGGAGGACCTCTTCGTCGTCGTCGTCAAGTTCATCTGCCAAGTCTGACTCTGCAGCGTCGCCTTCGGGGTCAAACTCTGACCCGCTGTCATCGGACTCCACTATGTCGTCCTCCGAACTCGAGGCATCATCTTGGATGATAGAGGCTTTCCGAGCACGCACGGCCCTAGATGGCGTCGAATTCGACTGAGAGCCCTATCAGAATCGGGGAAGGATGAGCAACCACCATTGACGTCCTTGCGCGAAGCTCGCTGACCTGTGTTGCCTTCACCGTGGCTATCTCGACATAGACAGCCTGTTGTGTGATGCGACGCTTGGAGGCCCGTGCTTGCTCCAACTCTTCGTCTTCCTCGTCGACAGGGTCTTCACGGGCACGCTTCTTGCTCACTCTGGTGTTGACCTTCTTGGCTTGCTTCTTGTCAGGCAGGATGAGCTCATCCTCTTCTTCGTCGATGTTGGAGGTTTCAGGAGTGGTTCTCAAAGAAACACCGGTGCTGAATACGGGCGATACCGCAGTACTGGGAGTCGTCGATGCCGACTGTGCAGTGCGTGCACGCTGTCTTGTGACCCGCATGGCGGATGAGAGGGCAGAGCGAGGTGGGGGGCGGAGGGAAAGATGCAGAGTTGGTGGGCCAAGTCAGCGCCGGCAACGCGGGCGACGCGACAAGACGCGCCTGAACCTTATTTATGGTCGCGTCTTCAAAGCGCCGGCGTTTTTTCGCGGAACCGCCCGCGTCACGTTACCCTGCACAGCCCTTTTGACTCGTTTTGGCCACTCTCGAAAAGGGAACACTTGCTCAATTCGGTCATTTTACGCGACGCCAGCTGCGTTCGACACCGTCCACCATCTTGGCCTCTTGATCTCGTCCGACGCAGCCGAACCCTTCGAAAATGCAAGAGCGTGCATACAGCTGAACACCCTTGTCTATGAACGAGAATGAGTTCCACAGGACTCTCCTCTTGTTGCTTGCGATTATCTAAACTCTTCAAGTTCTCGCCGGTGCACTTTACGACTAACGTTCAACGTTCAACGTCAAAAGATCTGCAGCCAGGAACGATAATTCGCAAGATATCTATACAGAAATTACACGCGAACGAATGCTACCAGAACTCCGAAAATCGCCACAGCCAAAACCAGCCTTATTTTGTTGTTCCTCAACTCTTCCCCCTTCGGTCCGTCGCCCCATCTACCACAAAACCAATCAAATCTCTTCAGCAGCATGCCGTACTCACCGCGCTCCAGGATGCCAACCACCCTTCCCCATTCCGAAAAGACTCGTAGCAGGGTCCCCTCCGTGATGGCGATCACCCACAGAGCTCCCGAGACGGTGGTCTTCATCCTTCGTACTCGCTCGGGATGCAGTACGAGGTGACGGGCTAGGTCGTGCGTGACGGCTGCGATGACCACTGACAACACCATCAAGAATGCCAGATATGCGACTCGAAGCCCGAGGGACGCGTCGAGAAGAGCGATACCGCACCCAGCAGCGAGTAGCACCCCGCACAGCAGCAAGCACTCCGCAGCGTTCGGCAACGCGTCGCGGTAAGAATACTCGGGGTATAGCCTGATGAGTCCGCCGTCGCCCTTCGACCACATGTAGAATCGCCAGTAGGACCGACGACCGCCGTTCCACCACGGATGGGTGACTTTGACCGCCGGGGCGCCCCAGAAACCCTCGCCTCCGTGTTTCAGCGAGTAGGCCCTCTTCTTGCGGCAGTAATCGATGTCCTCTCCACCTCCCGTCTTCGGAAACTGCAGGTCGTATTGCACATCGTCAGGCACATTGCGGCGAGCGATGAGGTTCGCCGTCACGCCCCAGGGTACGTCCTCTTTAATCTTCTCCGCGATGTCCCAGAAGTACGTGACTCCTGCTAGGTGGACTGCAGCGGTGAAGACGGAGTCTGCGATAGGAAACTGTGCGTTCCCGACGAAACCCACCGCCTTTGGATGCGCACGAATGGCTTTCTCGGCTTCCAGGAGGAGGCTGTCGTCTGGCAACACATCGTCGTCCAGGAAGACGACCCACTCTGCAGCTGACTCCAGAAGACCGCGGTTGCGGGATGCGGAGGCTCCAAGGTTCTGCGCGTTAACCCGGATGCGGACGTCCGGGCGGCTGCCATACTTCTGGGTCAAGTCTCCGATCCGGGGAGAGTTGGGGTCGTCGACGATAATGATGAACATGACGGCCAACGTCGGCGATTGCTGAAGTGCAAGGAATCTGTCGAGAGGGCGCATGTCGACGCGATAGCATGGCACTACGACGTCCAGGGCAAGCTTCCGCTCGAGTCCCGGTGCTCGACGTCGAAGCCAGTCTTCCACGGCCTTCGTGGCATTGTCTAGCGGCTGGAACGTCCAGCCTGTAGCGTGTACCTTCTCGTATCGCGCCGCCTCACTCCCTCCGAGCTTGTTGTGGATGCGCGACGCGATCATGGACGCACACCCCCACCGACGGTAGAGCTGGAAGAGGAAGGGATCTCCGTCCTGGTTCGTGAAGCAGTCCGGTACGACTTGCCCACCGAAGATATCCATGTGGGTGCGGTGGATGGCGGGGAAGGTGGGCATTCCGGGGAAGGAGGTGTCTGTGAACGCGACGCACCCAATACCATGCGGTACGTGCTCTTTCTCCGCCAACTCGCCGAATTTGTGATGAATGGTGGACATCCAGTTCGCGTCTTGTAGGACCACGTCGTCCCCCATGAGGACGTAGTAGTCGCACTTGTCCTGGTACGCCTTCTCGGCGCAGTCCCGCCAGAGAGCGCAGACATGGCCCCGTGGAAGGTCGCATCGCAAGGTTACTAGGTCTGTAAAACCCTCCTCGCGAAGGACGGCCTCTACAGCGTTACCTCCCTCAGGCTCCGACCTCCACAGGAAATCGTCATCGTCGTCTATGGCAATGTAGAATCTGAGTGCGTATCGCTCTCCGAGTCGTACCACGTCGTCGAGGGTGGTCTGAGAGAGTGACTTCGTGAACGTCCGCAGGTTCTTCAAGCAGTCTCCAGGCGAGTCAGATCCGCGAGACGTCACTGGCAGGAGGATGGCGAAAGTGATGGCGTCAGTCTGCAGATCGACCATGTCACTGGTCTGGGAGAGGCGGAGAAACCTGTGCCGCTCTGCATCGTCCATCGTAGAGAGCATCTGAACCATTTGTGAGTGGATCCACTCGCCTGTGATACGCATCCCTTTCTCCAGGGAATGCTCCGGCGTCCACCCAAGACCCCAGCGGGCGAACGCGTTGTTCGAGTTCCGAGACCCCACGCCTACCGGTCTGTCGGTCTTGTACTCGAACGACACGCTCGCCGGATCGACCCCGGCGACCGCGAGGGCCATGTTAGCGAGCTGCTGGATGGAGACAGCCTGATCCGAGCCCACGTTGACGGGCTCGTTGCAGTCTGACCCCAAGAGACGGAGCACCGCTTCAACCGCGTCGTCGATGAAGCAGAAGCTCCGTCTCTGCGAGCCGTCCCCCCACACCTCGAACGTGGTAGCCATGGCTTCGGAGAGCCGTACCGCGAACGCCTTGCGGAGGAACGCGGCCGGGACCTTCTCGCGTCCGCCGTACCAGGACCCGAGCGGTCCGAATACGTTGTGGAAGCGGGCGATCCTGACCTCCATGTGGGATCGGTGCTGCTCGAGGACCAGCTCGCTTGCGAGCTTCTCGAGTCCGTAGAGGCCCTGAGGGCGCGGAGGGGGGTTCTTCCATACGTCGGACTCCGCTAGGGAGACGTCTGAACCGGGAATCTGGAGAGACTCCGGGTAGACACAAGCGGAGGACGCATAGAAGAATCCCCGGACGCCCGCTGCAGTGCAGGCGTCGACGAGGTTGACGGTCATGAGATGGTTCTCTCGGTAGATGATGAAGTCGTTCGAGGCGTGGATCGTCCCCATTCCGCCCATCGTCGCGGCGAAATGGAGCACGTAACCCACGCCTTGAACGACTCGAGCAGCGAATGTGGGGTCGCACAGGTTGCCTATGACTACCTCGCCGACGCGGGGTGCGTTGAAAGGAGGTTCGGGGACGATGTCTACCACCCGGAGGCGATAGCCGAGGCCCACGAGCCTCCGGGAAATGTGACCCCCCTACGATGGCTCAGAACGTTTGCAGGGCATCGAGGGGCACGGTGACTCACGATGAAGCCGTGGCCTCCGGTAATGAGGATGAGCTCTTCCTTGCTGAGCATCGATGTGTGAGAAGGTGGGATCAAACGTTACGAGGAATCCGGTACGGTTTGAGCGGGACGACTTGCCTTAAAATATTCAAATGACTCGGGTGAAGCACTCAGGGCACTCCCAGAATAACTATGCAGGTTGGTCGTCATTCCGGACGTTCACATACCGGTCCTAGCATCCACGACGTTATTCTGCCGCAGCAACAGCGCCCAGACACTTGTCTGCGACCCACACAAGACAAGGCGCCCTCCAACATGTGGTACACCCTGCCCCACTAAACCATATGAGTGACAAGCGACAGTGGCCCCACAGCGCCCAGGTGTTCGGAGGATTGTACAACCCAAAATCGCTGCCGCAGCGACAGGACCCTTACGCCGAAGCCCTCTCGACGGCGCCTTGCGTGGTCCCAACGTGCGAGTCCGATAGATGATCGGTAGCTTTGAACGCCCACCGAAGGGCAGTCAAACCTTGTAAGGCGGCGATGGGTCCTGGTTTGTGGCTCAGAAGTACGGAGTGTGTCGTACCGGTCGTAGCCTGCGGTAGTTCAGGGTCAGGCGACGACTGAAGTGGCGCCGGATTCTTTTGGCGGTCAGTGGTACCGCAGGTCTATCCCTGGACCAGGATAGTGCTTATGACGGGCGCATTGGCGCACTTGTGTAGCGTATCTGGGTGTCCAGGACGCGGTACTCCTAGCATCCCGCACCTCCTTGCACTAGAGCTGTACCATCCATGTGAGCCTGACCACGTTTACCCAGTCCTCGCCCCCACTCACCTAACCCAACAGCACACCAAATGGCCGCTGCGTCCACCGAACAACCGGGCTACGTCTTCACGGAGACCCAGGACTGGTTCTCCTTCAACATCGAGACATGGCGCGGCCTCTTCCACCACATCCACAGCCCCCACGCCCGCGTGCTCGAGATCGGCTCCTGGGAGGGTCGCTCCGCCGTCTTCCTCCTCACCGAGCTGTGCCGCGACGGCGGCGAGATCGTCTGCATCGACCACTTCGACCTCATGCAGACCGCCGCAGGCCGCGAGCGCCACCGCAGGCTCATGCACAACCTCGCACTCACCGCGAAGCCCTTCCGCATCCTCCCCATGTTCAGCGTACCTGCACTGATGACGCTCTTGACCGAGGAGATGTCCGCTGCGCAGCCAGGGTTCGACTGGGTCTACGTCGACGGCTCGCACGAGGCCGACGACACGTTCCTCGACGGGGAGCTCGCGTGGCGCCTTGCGCGGAAGGGCGCGGTCATCATCTTCGACGACTATCGCTGGGACAAGGAGCCCGAGGAGAGCATGCATCACCCGAAGCGCGGGATTGACGCGTTCCTCGCGCTGCACAAGGGCGAGTACGACGTTCTTTCCTCCGGGACGCAGTACCAGGTCGTCCTGCAGAAGACGGTGGATATGCGCATCGGCTTCCTCGTCGCAGAGAAGGCGGAGTTGAAGGAGGGCCTCGATAACGCGCTGGGGTACGGTGTGAACGTCGCGCTCACGATCGACGCGGAGTACGCTATCGCTGCCGCAGTCGCGATCCGGAGCGCCGTCCGCCACACCAAGGGCCGCGTCACATTCTACGTCGTCGGTCAAGACCTCTCCGACGACGTGAAACAGAGGCTCAGGCACTCGGTCCCGGACGGTGCAGATGCTACCATTGTATTCCTCGACATCCCTCGATCCTCCGATGAGCCACACGCCGAGCAACCGTTCCCTCGAGGACTCACTTGGGCTAAGATCGGGATGATTCCGAGGCTGCCGGTCGAAAGGGTCTTGTACCTGGATGCCGACGTCCTGATCCGTGGAGACCTGAAGGAGCTCTGGGACGTCGACCTCCAGGGCAAGCCCATTGCGGCTGCAGTGGACGTTGGGTTTCCTGTGGGCCACGACGGAGTCAAGCAGCCTCCATACTTCAACGCCGGCGTCCTCCTCATGAACCTCACGACCATTCGGAAGCGCCTCGATGAGCTGAACGCCCTCGCCGCCACGATGAAAGACTCGAGGATGCAAGACCAGGACGCGTTGAACGTCCACTTCGGCACCGATTGGCTCCCGCTCAGTCTCCAGTGGAACGCGCAGGGCCTCGGCACGTACGCGACGCACCACACGCCGGAGCGCGCGGCCTTGCAGATGGACGAGATGGAGGACCCGAAGATCGTGCATTTCACAGGATCGTTGCACCCCAGCATGGCTGCGGTGCTGAATCCGTTCGTACAGCCGTACGACGGGAAACCGTGGGGCTATGCGGGCGCGCCCGGACATCCCTTCGCACGGGAGTGGTGGGAGGTCTGCGAGGAGACGGCCTGGAAAGGCTGGCGTCTGACCGACGAGTTCCGCGAGTTACGGGCCAGGAAGGTGGAGGAGGTCATCGAGGCGGGGGTGGCCGATTTTAGACGCAAGGTTGCTGAGCCGGAGTTCAATGTTTGAATTGTCGAGATTATGCGTGTCGTTGTGAAGCTAGAAGATTCGATCTGGGATATTGCCTGTATGCCAAAGAGAGAATGAAGACGAGGAACACACGCACCAAAGAGGGAAACGTTCAACGAACATTTGCCACTCGATCCCTTCCGGTGCGAAACCTTGAATATAATACCATACCCACAGAGGAAAGTACGTGAGATAAGCTTCACGGATGTACAATGTGAACTCACCTGCCGAATGAAGGATCAATGCACACAGGTGAAGGCACTGGATCTTCTGGAGGAAAACTAGACGTTGCCGACACCATTTGGCACATGTTACGAACAAGGTTCTATAGGCTACAGCCTACAGCGACCGACGAGACACGCCCTGGGGGTATGCAAATAATCCTTGCATCAGCCTAATATAAGATAGAGAGACAAAGAGTCGTCAGGAGTACATATGTGCCACTATACATAGATGATGAACGGAAGGAAGACACAAGAAGTCCTGGGGTAAAGAGAGTCTAGTGGCAGACGGCAACGGCGCTCGTAGCAGCAGGGTTTTTCAGTCATGTCGGGAACTAGAGAATTTTGACGTACGCCGCGGGAACGAGTCCCCGCTGACCGTCGATCTCCCCTGTCCACCTAAAAAAACGAACGCTCGTCAGCCAGAGCAACAATTCATGTGTAACCCACAGCACTCACCAATCATCCGACGTCTTCTCCAAAATGAGCACCCGCACGCCCTCCTGCAGGTCCAGATCGCCCGGGTCCTCGCTATGGTAGTCATACATCGCCTCCGCCCACTCCCCGCTCTCCTCCGGCTCCGGCTCCTGCGTCCGCCGCGGAATCGGCGGTGGAGGCGCGGAGTTCGAGATGACGGACGAGCGCGACGAGCCGGTGGACGGCACGCGCCTCGGCGGTGGGGCGAAGTCGTTCTTGCGCTGGAACGCGGGCGGGGTCGGCGGGGCGACCTGCGCGGGCGCTGCGTGTTTCGCGGCGGTCGAGTTCCGCAGGGAGTTGAACATGTTCTTGCCCGACGACATGTCGACGTCGCCGAATTTCTGCGCGGGTGGGAGAGCTGGCGTCAGCGGCGGGAGTACGGCCAAAGCGTGAACGATCTGAGAGGAAGACTCACTCTTGTGGGTGTGAGCTTAGCATGCTCTGGTGGGGGTGGCTCTTCGTTCGACGAGCCCGTGTTCATCCTCCTCGCAGGTGGACGCGGGAACCCGCCATTCCCGCTTGGGGTCTGCTCGCCTGGGTTCAGCTTCAGCGCCGCGGCCGCGGCCGCCACGCGCCCCACCGAGTTGCCGATCTCCGCTGTCGCAGCCTACACACCCACAATTCACAGTCAGTGCACAGGGACCGGTGGGGATGAAGAGAGCACGCACCGGGTTAGGCCGCTTCCACCCGTTGGCGTCCGCGGAGCGGTTCGCGGCCTGGGAGAACGCGCTTGACACCGCGGACGCTGCAGCGTTCTGGGCCCTGCCCGCCGGTCCTGCTGGGACGCCGTTCATGCCTCCCGTGCTGCTCTCTCCCGAGCCGGAGCCGTTGAAAAGGTCCGGGCGGGACGCGAAGTACCTGCGGAGCACGCGCGGGGGGTGGTTAGATCAGGTACGCGGAGCGGTCAGAGCGTCACCGCCACCACGCCCACTGGCAGGACGCAGCGAAGGCACGCTGGCAGTGGCAGGGACGAGAGCTCAGATCTCAGCACAAGGTGTGGTACTCAACTCGTCGAGCAGCGCGAAGAACGCGTCCTTGTCCGACGGGGCGAGTCTTGCGAACACCATCGTGCACGTCCGTCCAGGTCGTAGTAGCACAGCAGTGTCAGGGAGAGGAAGTTATAGTGGCGCGATGATATGGCAGCAGTCCATTGATTGCAGAGAGAGTGCGAGATATTATAAGGCCCCCCAGGCGCAAGGCACAGGGCGCTGGCACGAGGAGACTTCGAATTTGGAGAGACGACGTCGACGTGCTGATGGTCCTGCTGATCGGGTCCGCCGAGTCACTCCCCTTGTGGGGGCTGTGCTGCGTACATTGCCGCCGCGGCCCCTCAATTCAGCGCAGACGCGCGTCGTGTACAGTGAACGGCTCGCGGTGCGGACACGACAACAGAGTACGATGCCCTCTCGAGACCGGATCTTCAGCGAGAACACACCGTGCTCTCTCACAGCTATCAAAGGTGCGGTGAGGAGGAGGAACGGTTCGGTGACAATCAAATTCGCCCCGATATCAGTGCACCGCACCCCCGCAGCGGTGATACAGTAGCACGACGCGGTGCAGCGTCTCATCTTACTCGCTCGAGCCTGAGGAGGTTCCTCAGTATCGTCGACGTCAACGTTTCAGCGCCGATCAGGCGTCGAAGCACGTCGTTGCCAGCAAAGCGGTCTGCGTCGATGCGCTGCGGCAGGGGCAGGGCGTGAGATATACAACAGCGGAGCGAGGTATCGGATACGGTCAGAGAAGGTACTGCGACAGCTAGTAGTTATCATCGGGCCCCTACGGTACAGACAAAGACAAGGATAGACAGAAGAGCGGAGGAGCAGCGGATAGAGAGAGAGAGGGTGGACAGACGGACGAGAATATTAAGCATGGAGCGCGCGCGAGAACGACGAGGGACAACGGGGAGTATACAAGAGGGAGCAAAGAAGACGAAGAGCGGGTGGGGGTGATGGGATAGCCAAAGGAACAGGCGAGGGGGTGAGGCAGCGTCCAACAACGAAGGCGGCAGCGATCACTGTCCCCAGTTGAAGAAATCGAGGTCGTTCAGGCCCGCCTGGTCCGCCGTCGGGCTGCCCTGCATCTGCTGGTGCGGCCCCGGCGTCCCCGACGCGCCGCGCCCGGGCGTCATGCCCTCGTGCTGGCTCGCCGACGGCGACGGCGCCATGAACGGCCCGCCTCCAAACTGCCCCCCGCCCTGGCTCCACATCTGACCGCCGTTGCCCGACGCGGCGGGCGACGGCGCCCCACCCATGCCCGGGAACCCGCCGCCGCCGCCAGACCCGCCCGCCGAGCCTGGGGGGGAGACCATGCCGTACTGGCTCTGCCCGCCCATGCCCATCTGCTGCTGCTGCTGCTGCATCTGGCCCATGCCGTTCTGGCTCCAGCCCTGTGCGCCAGACTGCTGTTGCCCGCCGGGGAAGCCGCCGCCGCCCATGGCCATCGCGCGCTGGGCCTGCGCCTGCTGCATCATCATCGCGCGCTGGTGCTGCTCTTCTGGGCTCTGGCCGCCGCCGCCCATCCGGTGCTGCGAGACCGGTGAAGGACCAGACTCGGATGGGGTCCGCGCACTGCGGGCGATCCCAGGCATGCCTGGATTTGAGCGGAGCGCGGGGAACTGCGAGCCGTCCATGCCGCCCATGTTCTGCGAGCCGCCTTGGCTGGCGGCGGCAGCCTGCATGCGCTGCTGCTGCTCCAGCCGCATCCGCTCCTGCATCATCTGCTGCTGGCCCATCGCTTGTGGGTTCATGCCGTTCCCGCCGCCGCCTCCGCCGCCGCCACCCCCGCGGAGCATCTGCTGCTGCATGAGGAGGAGCTGTCGCTGCTGCGGGTTCATCTGCGCTAGTGCTGCTTGCTGCTGGGGCGTGAACATCATGCGCGACTCGTTGGGGGCGCCGCCGCCACCGCTGCCGTAGGGGAATGACTGCTGCATGGGTGACTGCTGCTGCTGTACGGGTGACATTCGTGACGGGCTTCCTTCTCCGGAATGTTGGGGAGCGATGGGACCCTGGGGGAATCCGCCGTTTCCACCCTGGGCCTGGGCTTGTCGACGGGCTTGTAGCATGGTCTGGACAAGAATGGTGAGCACCGCACCAGTCACCGACGCGCCTGATAACTTACCTGCGCGACTTGCATCTTCTGGAGCTTGTCCATGGTCGGCAACGACATGAACCCGGGAACCTGGCTCACCAGATACTGCATGAACGGATGACTCGGATTTTGAAGCACCTGGAAATGCTGTACGGCCATCGGGCCCATACTCTGCAGATTCGCGAGCTGCGCGGGGGTGAGCTGCGATAGCGTCGGTATTGGCGACGGCCCCGCCCCGCCGTGCTGTGGCCCCATTCCTGCGGGTGGTGACATCTGCCGGCTGCTCTCGCTATGCTGTTGTTGTAGTTGCTGCTGCTGCTGCTGCTGTTGTTGCTGCTGGGCCTGCTGTTGTTGGGCCTGGCGCATTTGCAGCTGCCGCGCACGCATCGCGGCGACCTGAGCGTCGTTTGGCCCCATCGCACCGGGTGGCACGGGCGGGGGCGGCATAGATGGACTACTCATACGCTGCACTGGGCCGCTAGACATGTTCATGTTTGAATGGCTGGAGTTTTGCGACATGAGCTGTGGCGGAGGAAGTGGCGTAGACGGGCCTGCTCCGGGCGTCGAGAACCCCGATGGCGTCTGCGCCTTGGTCTCGCCAGTGTCACGCCGTTTGTGTGCGTTGTCAAAGGGCTCTTCCGTACGCTCGCGCTTCGCGTTGCCATTCATGGCCCCGGGACCGGCGGCTTGCTGTCGACGTGCAAGCTCCTTGGAGAAGATGTTCGGGAGCTCGCGATATACGTGCATAATACGGTCCATCTCCGCGAACTCCACGACTGGAGGTGGTGTCATGATGGGGAGCGCCATAAGACTTTGGCTCTGCCAAACCGTTAGTACCATCGCATCTATTCAACCTGAGGGTATACGCACGACTTTGTGGTTTTCATCCGCAGCGGCTGCTATCCACGTCAGGTTGGATTGCAGTCTTAATGAGTACCTGAAGGCTCCAGTCAGTACCACATTCGCAAGCATAGCAGCATAGTGGCGTACTGATGAAAGATTTGGTCCGTCATGGGCACGCCTCGCGCTTGGAAGTCCATAGATACCCTACAAAGAACATTCAGAGTCCGGGTCCCCCGTCACTCGTAGTCCACATACCTGAGCAATAGCGAGTTGAGCTCCAAGATGCTGACCACTTTAGGATCAAGCGACGGCGCTTTCGAATGTGTAGGGGATAAACTTGAGGCTTGAGAGTGTTGTCTCGAGAGCGTACCGTCCGAGCCCTGTTTAGGGGCTTGACCGCCTGTACTCGCACTCTGGTCGCCACCTGACCCCGCGGATCGCGCAGAGATATTTTGTTGGTTGTGATTGGTCGACGACGACTGCTGCGACGAAGAGGAAGCCCCGGCATCGCCTGCGTCTGCACCAGAGTCTTTGGAATTGGACTGCGCGTCTCCGCCAGTGTTCTCGTCGTCTGGTGCGGTCTCGGGGGCTGATGACAGTTCGCTGAGAGGAGTGGACTGACGAGATGCCTTGTCGACCTCTTCCGATCCCTGTGCTCCAGCCTGCTCGGCCATACCAGCGGTGTCCGTCGTGTCCTCGGGTGGTTGTGATGGGGCCTCCGTCGCTGGATTGGGAGTCGCGGCATCCGGAGGGGGCGTCAGCGAGGAGTTGCTGTCGGGAGGCGGTGAGCGCGCGTCTGCCGTACTGCGTGGCGATGGCTCAGAAAGAGAAAGCGGATTCTGGGAGTCGGTAGGGGCGCCTGGGCCAGCCGAATGCGGGAGCGACGGCTCGTCCTGCGGCTCGTCCTGCGGCTCGTCCTGCGCGGGCTGAGGCTGCTCAGAGGGCTCTGGCGGGGCGTGGTCCTGGGAATCCGGATAGAACGGTCTGGGATCACGCGAGGGGGACGACCACGGGGAGGCAGCGGCCTGATCAGCATGCGGGGAGTTTGCGAGGATCAGGCTTGGGGAGCTGGCGTGTGCGGGGAGGGAGGCGGCGTGATTGTGATCGAGATGGATCATGGTATTGACGAGCAGCCAGATTTAGAGGTCACGAAGGCGGAGGGGTCGTGCACGATGTGAGAAGATACGGCGCGGCCGGGAAATCCGCGAAGGGGCGGGCGTAGCGGGGGCAGACACCCTGTGTTTCTCCGCAACCGGCTGGGCGAGGCGGACGAGGCACGGGCGGGAAGGAGAAGCGGGGCTGAGCCGGGGGTGTGGACACGGCGGGATGTCGCGGTGCGGGGAGAGCGAGCCTTGTGGACGGAGGGCGCGAGGACGCTCGAGGGTGAGAGCAGCACAGGCCTGCAGAGGGCGGCGACAACGAGCCTTGCGCCCGTGCGAGTTTGATGCCAGATCCGGCCACGTTCGTCCCATGCTCACATTCGCTCTGCTACCGCCCATCGCGCGCGACGCACAATCGTCTGCAGAATCGCTCGGGACGGGGGAGAGGCAGGAGCTGTTGCGTCAATGCTGACGCTTTATATACCGACGGGCCCCCGTCTGGCTGCCAAGATCTGGGTATCTCGAGTCCGGAACGGCAGCGTTCTGTGGCAGCGCCAGCATTTACGCAGTGTGATCGATTCCATCGTTCCTCAGATCACGCAACCAATCTGCTTTCGGATCCGAGATGTTCTCTACGAGTCCTGGAGCACATAGGCACACTCCCCGGCCTAGCCGTTTCTGCCTCAACCACACTCCCTCCAGCCCCTGTCCCGACGCCCCACTCGCCTGTGCCACCGACCGATGCACCGCGCGCTGCGCCCACCCACCCGTGCGCGCATCTGCGAGATGACGTCCCCGTGCGCCGACACGGGCTCGCGCGCACGCCCTGACTATCACACGAGGCGCCTCTTCTTTCATACAGAACCCTCGATTCGACGTGCTTCGCGCGCATGCCCCGCCTGCACCCGCAGCGAAGGCACATCAGTCTCCTCAGGGATAGCACCGGCTTCGCGAGCCTAATCGTCCGAGCGTAGGTTCGCCCGCGCTGACGGCCTGTCTCCCATGCCGTGTACCTTCTGACATGCAGTCGTGGGTGTCCTATCGCGCGCATAAGTCATTCGCGATGCCGCACGGTCATCAGGCGTTCTGCGGCCATAGCAGCTGAATACCGGTAACGTACTGTCGGTGTCCTCAGCACCCACCAATTGATACCTCCTCGTCCCCGCTGATGCATGTACATGCCAGGTATGCGACCGCGAATAGCCGCGCGCTGCCTTCCTAAAGGTTGCGCCGTAGTCCACGGTGAGTGTCCGTCAATGTATCAGAAATAACCTATTCTGACATCAGGCCGCCCGCTGTCCATTGCGTGCCTTCAATTCATATCGGCACCGCGCTTTCACCCGCCGTTCACCAAAACGCGGGTTGTCCTACTGCGTTGGGACCATCGTTTGACGTATGCACGCATGCCACGCGTGTATGCGCGAGGTGTACGTTGTTATCCTTAAACTCGGCGGAAATTAGCTCACGTATCAGACAATGAGCAGGTGATCTTCTGGGTTTCCAAATCTCCACCAGATAAGTATGCCACATAAATCTCTCCTGGCCCGATGCTGCGCCGACTTGGTGGGCACAGGTACCACCTCCCGGTATGGACGCTCTCGTAAAAGACATCTTTCAAAAGTAAAAACAAGAACAAGGATACCAGGCAACCAGGCAAAGTGTACCTACCTAATCATTCCACTTGCGCCTGAGATGATTCGGAGTAAGATTGGATGCGCAAGGGCCCGCCTTCGCGGTTGGCGCTACCCCAAACGTAGGGGCTTCCAATTGTGAGCGCTGGTGTAACTTGTTCGAAATCCGCTCACAGTCTCTTCATAGCATAGGAAAAACCGAGCGGATTCGGATTCAACACCTCGCTCATGAGTCGGGGGTCCGTCCACTAGGTCCTTCGCCTGCATCAGTAGGCTCATCGTTCGGGAAAAGCACACTAAAGAGACCGTGAATACACGTTGTGCTCTCGAGCGGAATGCAGAGACAGCCAAACTATTCCCAAGCAACATAGATGCAATGTCCTCTCTCGCCAGCCCTCCGTCCCACAAGTCTATTCTGGGGACTCCGGTTCTCAGTTTGGACTAGCGTCCCTGGCGACGATCTGGCTCGCGCTGGGATGACGTCCCCATAGCTATAGGCTAATTAATACGATGACTTTCGTGTCAGTAGGCCGCACTGTTTCTGTCCACCCAACCTAACAGAGTTTAAGTCAGTGGCCATTAGCACTACTTGTGCTCACCAGGGCGCTCTGGCGCTCAACGTTCAACGCTTGGGGCTCCAGTCGTGGCACGAGTGCGTAAAAATTGAAACGGTCTGGAAACTATCGCCATACATCACTGAGAGCTTAGGTCAATACACAATGGTTCCATACACTCATAAAGTCGTAGCGTACAGCAGGACGTGCATCGCCCCTCTGGTCACCCAATAGTAACAGTTGGCGCACGAGGGAGGCACCGGAAGATGCCGTGACCCGGGGTGGGAGGTGGGGGAGGGGTCTCGGGGGCCTTATGTCGATTGATGTACGCCTCTCTGCTGTATCGAATTTGTGAGCGCTGTGCAGGTCTGCATCCATTATATATGCCAACGGCGAGCTCAGGAAGTAAGCTGAGCATATATTGAACGAGAAAATCCACAAAGTCGGTCATCTGTAGCGATGAGCGCTCTTCCTAATACGGACTGTTTCCTTTCCCGTCATCCTCCTCTTTTCGTATACGTTCCTTCACTCAACGCCTGGTCTTACTCCCTTCGTTCATCTGACCTCCTCTCCGTTCTTAGCTTACTCTTTGGTCTCACTCTCCGATTCTCCCCGAGGTCTCCCGAGCTTGTATAAATACTCTGCTTCTCTCTCTCTTGTACGGCAGTATTCTCTGTTGAATCGACAGACTCGTAACCTGTCCCTCTCAGCGTGAATCTCTTCCCTCTCGTGTCACGCCACCGCTCCTCTCGGATCGCGAACGTGACATATTTTTGACAGCTAGTCTTCGAACTCAACCTCTACAACTCGCTTTTCGTCTCTTAACTCCCTCTGCTTCTGTCGACCGACTGGGCCACCTCGAGTCTGATCAACTCGACCCCTCCTCTCGGCGACACTTTCCCCAGTTCCCTCAACACACAACAACCCCCTGGAGTCCGAGATGTCGGCTCGTTACAACCTCAGAAACACGCGCGCGGGGCCTGTCGCTCCCTCTGCTGTTCCTGCCCAAGGTGCGTCGTCACCTGCTCCTGACGATACCACTGATGCGTCGCTTGTTTCTAGTCCCCTCACCGGGTCTTCGGACCTCGCTTTCGGACCCGCGAGCATCAGCTCTGGAGCCGAGCGTCAGCCTGGACTGTCCTACAGTCAGGTTGTGCGCTCGAGAACGCCGTCTCCCGTGCCTAGTGCCGGGAACGAGATGTCTGTTACATACAACGTCAATATATCCCCTTCCCCACATGTCTCTGGCGAGCAGACAGTTCCTACCGCCGGAAGGACACGTCCTGTGACCGTAGAAGAGGTCACCGATGAAGAGGAAGGTGCGCCGTGGATTGAAGTCCGGCGTCGCCGTCGCAGCACGGGCTCGCTACCCGTTGACCGCACCCCCGTCGCGCGCAAGGCGCCTCTCACCGCTGCGCAGACGCAGGCAGTACAGGCCGCGGAGAACGCGATCTCCGCCGCTGATCGCGAGCGCATCGAGCGTCGTACGCAGCTCGTGCGCAACCATAGTCAGACGTCGCTTTCGAGCGATAGTTCTCGAGGTGAAGGGCCCTCGAAAGACAAGGGAAAGGCCGTCGACGCCCGCAACTGGGGCGCGAGTGGAATCCCTCATGACGAACTCCAGCCGGAAGTTCAACAGCGCGAACTCGATGTGTATTTGGCGCCCCCGGCAGACGTGCTAGCTACATACAATACGGATGAGCAGCGCGAAATGCTTGCTTACTGGCAAGCCCGAAAGGAGGCACAGAGTGCACCTACGGCTCGCGCGCCCTCGCGTCACCATGGTTCGCGCTCCTCAACGCTGCGCGCGAGCGCGCCGAGTCCCGAGCCCGCACCGTCAGCTACTGAAAGTGCGCTCGCTCGAGAGCTAGCTGCGCTTCGACACGAGGTTCGGGAGCTGCGTGAGTCCCAGCCTCCCGAGGTGCCTCTGCCTGTGCTGCCTCAGGCTGTTCGGAAACACTCTAAGAGCAAACCGCGCGCCCATGTTGTTAACAATGGGCTCGCCGGGCGTTTCGTGGACTCCGTGGTTGGTGCTGCGGGAGGACGTGCGGGGAGTCACACGGACTCGCGTGCGCGATCATCTTCGCTGCGGCCCATGGCACAACTGGAGCCCGGGAGTTATCTCGGGCAGGCCTTCAATGGGATTGCCGGAGGCGATGGACCTTCTGACAGTGGGTCGTCGTCGTCGTCGTCCTCTTCTGAGTCGTCGTCGGACACGGACGAGAGTCTGAATGGGGTCGACCCGGATCTGCAACAGCGTGTTGAAGATCAGTCTCGTCGTCACCGCAAGAAGAAGAGGAAGACGAAGAAGTACCTTGCTCCTGTATTGAAGCCTGAGAAACCAGAGCCCTACGACGGGCGCGCGGACGCGCAGATCTTTCATAAGTTCCTACGGCAGATGACCGAGTTCATCGCCGGGTACCGCGTGAAGCGAGCCATGCACGCCTCGACGGTGTCCAACTACTTGACCGGCACCGCCTACCGCTTCTTTGTAACCACCGTCTCGAGTGACCCTCGTCGCTGGGGATTGAAGGAGCTGTTTGTCGAGCTATTCAACTACTGCTTCCCGGTCGACTACCGGCTGCAGATGCGCGAGAAGCTGCGGAACTGCAGTCAGCGTGATCGCAGTGTACGAGACTACGTACACGAGCTCGAGAGCTTGTTCTTGATGGTGGGCTTTGTTTCCGAGCGCGACATGGTCGACAAGCTCTGGAACGGCCTGAGCATCAGTATCCAGCAAGAGCTCTGGAAGAAGGAGCTTACCCCGTCGCATTCGAGCTGGTCCGAGGTTCGCGAGGCCGCGGAGCTGATTGAGATCGCTGAGAAAGTCGGTCAGCGCGCGGGACGCCACAACCGCAGTAACAACAGTCAGTCTGAAATGCGCCCGGAGGGCGACAGCTTCAAGAAGACACGCTCGCGCTCGCAGCGGTCGGACCAACGCCGCATGAGCCATCGTGATGCTCGCCCTGAGAAGCGTCCTACACACGGTCCCTCGTCCGACTCCCGTGCACGAGGTAACTCATCTTCGCAGCACGGTGGACGCGATCGTAATCGGCCGCGTCCGAATGGGAACAGGCCTGCCGCAGGTCCAAAACTTAGCGACCGCGAAAAAGCGGACCTGCAGGCGGCTGGCAAATGCTTTGTCTGCCGCGAACCCGGCCATTTCAGCCGCAACTGCCCCCGAACGCAGTCTGTGCGCTCTGACCAGCGCGGCAAGCCGCCCGGCCTCACGTCGTACAATGTCGAAGTCGGACCCTCTTCGCCTGCTCTCGATGTACTGGATGAGGTCGTCGAGACGACGGGAGGAATAGACCTCCACGCCGTTGTTGAACTTCTGTGTCTACGGCTGTGCCGGACCGGGAGTGGCAGTGATAGTGGCTGTGCGTCTACCATACGCCAGCATGGACTTTCCTACTTACCATATACGTACATTCTTTTGTTCTGTACTTACTTGCCATCCTGCCATCCCTCCATATGATTCTGGTACGTTCTACGATGTTCCGGACTATTCTAGACAGCGTCCGGATTACTCGCATTACTCAGCCATGGACTATCTGACCTTATGTCGATTATGCTCCCTTACTCAGTGTTACTCATCGCTCAGTCAGCGTCCTCTGGACGTCACATGCCCTCTTCCTATACGCTTACTCATCGTCCTCCCCAGTACGTATATAAGGAGGACTCTGCAGGCCTCTGCTCTTCAGTCGTTCTCT